TCTCTTGAATAGTCACAGTATGTTGGATATTTATTGAGTATAATATCCACACTGGAATCATCAGCCAATCAGAACTTACAGAATAAGCTTGCCTGCATAATAGAATGGAATCTCCCAGGCTGTTATATAAACCACTTACCAATTTGCCCAGCAGATGAACTTGGTCAGTCAGACTCAACTTCTATTACAGTCAAGTACTGTCTGTTGTTATTACCAAATTCTACCATCAGATACTTCCTCTGTGGGGATGGTTGAGGTGGCGCAACAGACAAAAAATGCATTGGCGGCCTGTCTGTGAAGTTTGAGGTTCTGTGGTGTATGTGTTACAAAGAGCAATTGTGTTCCCTTGATTTCTTTGAGGTACCACAATGGGATGTAGATGTGAAGCTCTGAGTTCTGAAGTCTGAATGTTCTGCCCACTGCAGTCTGATTGGCCGGTAGATTGGTCTTCTTTAGGCCATGCCTTTTGCTGAGTATGTCAGCCCAAATATTGGTGTCACCCTCCATGTATTCGAAGACAAATTTATAGCTGGATATTTCTTCTTGTCATCGTCGAATTTTTGCATTATTGAATTCATGCCAGTTGAGGTATGTCAGTGAATGGTGGTCAGTGAAAATAATGAATGGGCGGCTCAGCAGCACAGAAAGTAATCAAATTTGGATATAGCTCATTTTATTGCAAACGCTTCATGTTCAGTAGTGGACCAATTCTGTTCTCTTGGGCTGAAGGTGTGGGAAGCGATGGTAATGATCTTTTTTCGTCTGTTGTCAGCTTCCTGCATAAGGACGGTGATTTCAAAAGCCTTGTCAGCCTTTTCTGTCCAAATGATAATGAAATTTTAAAAATATTTTTGTAGCTCACCATGTGTTTGGCCAGTAGTTGATGAGTGGGTTTTTGGAGTTGCTTGTTGTCCCTGTTGAGTTCATGTAAAGGAGTCAAGTGAAAAAATTCAACTGTCTTAATTCGTTTGTAAAGGCATGTCTCTAGAAATTGGCATATTCAGATGAGACATCTTATGAGACTTTGAAGCTCCTTTCTCATAGTTGGTGGCTTTATCTCGACAATGGCATGAATGTATTCTGGGTCAGGCCTGAACCCTTTGCTGTCAACAATACAACCAAGAAATTTGATTTCTGAAGTGAGAAAGATGAATGCAGTTTTGTGGCGGTCACATTCATCGATGGGGATTTGCCAGTATCTGCTGTGGAGATTGAGAGATGAAAAGTATTTGTTTCCCTTGCTTTTCTTGTTAAAAATAGAATCAATCATGGTCATCAAATACGGGTCTAAATCTGTGAGTACCTTGTTGAGGGTCCTCTTGAAATTGGTCACTACATGGATTCATCCATTTCTCTTTTTTTTTTTTTTTTGGACAGCAAAGACAGGGCTATTGAACCCTTTTGGGTCAAAGTAGAGTTTGATGATCCCTTCAATAGCCATGTGTTGAATTTCAACATCACTGCCAGCTTCTAACGCCTGCACGATCGGATGTTGCTTTTGGCTGCAGGAATGGTCATTAGTGATTATGTGCACAGGCTTAATGAATGTGTCCTGATTGTCATCATTACTGATGATATTGGTGTATTTGATGAGTCTAGCATGCCTATCTTGGAGATAGTGATGTTTATTTTTGTAAAAGGAGACTGGTACGAGTGAGAAATCTCTAAAGTGCCATAAGAGTGACACAGTTAAATTGAATGTTAGTCATGCTTGACCTGTGAACATGGAAGTCTTGGTTGTGGATGGAGTATTCTTAGGCTTTGATCTGCTTTTGGGGATTAATGCAATCTGAGAGCTTGGAGGAATGTGCATAACTAAATCTGGAGAAGTGTGTTTTCCTGAGAGAGATTTACACCAGTGTGCTACCATTTCCATTGACAAACCTGATTTTAGTGTGCAATTTGACCATCAGAAGTTTTGAATTGCCACATGGAAATGGGCCAGCAGTTAAACACCCAAAAGACTAAAAAATAGTGTGCCAAAGTACACCATGCCTAATGCTGTCCAAGACAAGTACAAAAAAGAACTGCAGTTGTGGTTAGACAATGAATGGTTGCTGCCATATCTTGAGAGTGAGATTGGTCCATTCAAGGACCTAATTCTGTTGATGGCGGTGATTCAGGAGAACAAACAGAAGGTTTAGCCAGTGTTTGATTACAGGGAATTGAACAAACTTGTGGAAGCGTTCACTGCTGACACAGATGTGTGCGCCTAGAAGTTGAGAGAATGGCAGCAACAGGAAGTAAACATGGTCCTGTTAGGTTTGAGAAAAACTTACTTACATTTACCTACACATTGAAAAAGCATTGTGGCCCTTTCAAACTGTGCTAATCAAGGGCAAAATTGTCTTACACGATTGGGATTTGGCTTAAATGTAGCACCTCTCATTATGAAGGCTATCATTGAGTTGGTCATGTCCCAGAATGCATCAATCAAAGATGCTACATCAGCTTGCATAAATGACATCTTTGTCACCGGAGTCTTAGTTTCTATGACATGGGTGAGGGAACATCTATCCAATTATGAACTCGGTTGCAAAGACCCAGAGAGACTGGAGGACTGAGCCAAAGTTTTGGGCCTGCAAGTCTGTTGGGAGAATGGTACTCTCTGATGGAAGTGAAGACGTAAAATTCTGGACTTTCCTGAAGTCATAACTCACTGAAACTTGTTTTCTCATTGTGAATGATTTGTGGGACACTTTCTCATGTGTGGCTGGTTAATAGCAACTGCCTATATCAAGTGACAAGCAAGTGTGGTGCCTAAAGGATAGGACTACACAATCAAGGATGCCTTCATCCATTGCATACTAACTGAGACAGTAACCAGGGTACATGAAATGGATCCTGTTGGTAGGCACTGGTGTGTGAGTGGCCATGAAATGAAGATATTGCTGGATGCCAGTTATTTGGCCTCAGGAATGGCATTGGAAGTGAACAGGGGCATTGTTGAGAATGTTTGTTGGTTGTATATGGCAGGAGATAGGAGATATGTTGTAGAGGAATTGTCTAGTCAGGAATTGTTAACATGCAAAAGAAAGTATAATTTTTACACATTTTTCACTACAGTGCTAAACACTTTGACAAGATAAGTTTTTACCATCAGAGTAAATGCTATACTAAGGTTTAAAATGAATATTCAAAAAAGAAAAATCTTTCTTGAAGCTATTATTTAAGTTTTAATTTCAAACTAATAGATTAAATTCAATATTTCCAATAAGCAAAATATTTTGCTTTATTTCAAAACTAATTTAAATTCACTGAAAAGAGTTTTTTTTTTTTTTTTTTTTGCTAAAATAGCTGATTAGCACCCTTTTTTAGTCGTCTTTCATCACAATTTAATTCTCTTTTTTAAAAAAAATTTCCAAAAATAAAATACGCTTTTCTGAAACTTTATTTGAGAAATATTAGATGATTTAATGTATAGTTAACATTAACCTGATTTGAAAAAAATATTATTTACTTTAAGTTTAAAATATCACAAACACATTTTTTAACACAGCAGTAACTGTTTATTTAAGCTGCTGACATGTTTGACAGGGTGATGACCGATTGATGTTTATCTAATGTTGTTCTATGTAGGCTTTAGTCATAAAAAATAATTGAATATAACATGAACACCTTTTATAGATAATTTTTAAGTACTCAGTAATCTTAAAAATTTAAGAAAATATTCTCCATAATGTTTTATCGAATTTTAGATACTTTTTGGCTTGAAATTTACTATAGTTATCACTCTTATTTTCTGATAATATTGTGTGTTGGTGACTGTATCTACAAAAATTGCATGTTTATATACATACAAAAAAATTCAAAATTCTTTTAAAAATATTGGTGCATGATGATTTGTACTCAGCTTTTCCATTTATGATAAATAAATATAGTTTTTACTTAATAACATCATCTAAAAGGGTGAAATTAATACAGAATTTTAAAAGATTTAAAATTTAATAAATTTTTCTAATTAAAAAGGAAAAAGAATGAAAACAATTCTTGTAAAAATTCATTATTCATCAAAAAACATTTTTTCTTAAGACAATAGTGTCTTTAATATATCTTATTTATAAAAGAAATTAAAAGCTTTTCTAATTAAATAATGTCATAGTTTTATTGCATTTTTTATTTTACGATTCAAAGCAAATTTTTCAGTAAATGGTGTTTCTGTTTGACAAAAACAAATTGACGATTTAAATTCTCCAAGGAGTTCTGCTTTTAACTAATATAAATATGAAGAGGGTAGAATTTTAATTTTACTGAAATTTTCTAAAATTAAGTGGTGTAACATGTAAAAAAAACAAATATTTTTACCAAGATTTTCAAAAAAGAAATAATTTTATTCACTTGTGAATAAATTCTGAAAAATTAATTAAAATCTGACAATTTTTTTTTTTTTTTGCAAGAATTTCTAGAACAATGTCTTTTTTTTACTATAAAAGATTCTAAATTTCCCATAGTAATCTTTGGTCCACCCGTTGATGCAAGAAAAACAAGATTTTTAACCAAATATTCAAACATGCTGGAAAGGATTAAAAAATTTAATAAAATAATGAAAAATACTTTGGACTTATCTATTAGAAATAACATAAACATTTTGGTGATTAAACTTTATTTTTTCAAGTTTGGAGCCTTTTTCATCATGGTATACTTTTTTTTTAGCAAATTTTTGGAGGTACTTACAGTTTTCATTACAATTCTGTCAGGATCATAAAAAACAATTATTTATTATCAATGAAATATTAACTTATTTCCATTCATTTGAATGTTGAAAAGATTTAAAGAAGGATGATGAATTTGTAACTTTTAAAATTAAAAATAAAATTACATATTTTTCCTTTTACATTATATTAATAAAAAATTTACAATATAATCCATGTAAAAATATGGAAAATTTCAAATCCATAAGAATCTTAATAGCAAGAATAATTTCAAGAAAGCTGATGAAAAAACATTAATATTCTTCAACCATACATAACTAATTGTATCATTTTTCTTTTCTTTTTAAGATGGTAGCATGAAATTGAAGGTTGTTGCTATGGGAACTGGTACTAAATGTATTGGTCAATCAAAAATGAGTAAAGAAGGTATCTTTTTCCCTTTCTCATATTTTCTATTATAAAAAATTGTTTAATGCCAGCAATTTTTAATTTTCAAAACTGCTTTGAATAGGTATGTTTTTGCCTCTCTTTCCAGAATAGTCCTAGTATCAATTATATATTCTTAGGATGTGAATCTTTCAGTTAGTTTATCATTGATTATTGGTAGTTTTATTTTTTGGTTAATATTGCATCTTGTGTTGTTTAATTTTGTGTGTATATGTTTAATCTTCAGAAAGTTTATCCATTTGATTTTTTATTTATTTATTAATTTTTGCATATAGTTCATCATACACTGGATGATTTTTATTCTTGTCATTGATGACTATTCAAGAAGATTTTTTTTTAGGTAATGAGTGGGAGAATTGAGAGCACCTCTTTTTTTCCTGAATACTGATTAATGTGCATACAAAAACAAACTATACTCAAAAATCCAGTGTGAAATTTGAAAGGAACAAACATTTATTACATTAACATAAAAATAATATAACAGAATACAAGTTTTACAAATAAGTTTACACAAAATTTTCCTTTTTGTGCACCTTATTAAAAGCAAGATAACCAATTTAAAAATAGAAATATGGCTCATGAAGAAGATATAAATTATTCAACAAATTTTAAATAATTGAAAAATCATGAAGTACACATTCTTTTAAAAAATACACTTACTTAATTGAAAGTCAAAATGGTAGATTTTTCAGTCACTCGGACTTGAATAAATTTGTTCTTTTTCTTGAACACAATTTGATTATTATAATCAGAAATTTTTCACTTCACTGGTTTCACTTTGGTTCTGCTTCTTCTGTTTCTGTTTTCAATTGCTTCTTTCTTCTGTAAGAAACAGCCTAGTTCATCCACTGGTGACATAAAATTTCTTGTCTTTCTGAAAATCCTATAACTTGTGATCTTCTGGTACCTCTGTATCTTTCGAAATATTTGTTACCTTCTGAAATGTTCTGCAAATTCATCTTCCTATATAACCCTCAAATAGGCTCCAGATAAATCTCAACTTTTAAATTTGTATGGAAGGAAGTCACTCTTATAATTGAACAATAAATACAAAGGTGTATATCTTTTGAAATTTGAAAATTAAATCACAAACTGCCTGCCATGACTGATTTATTTTTGGCAGTTCTTTTTTGAGACATTCTATTTTTTAGAAAGTTTAAAATGTTTCACGTCAAATTTATAAAATTAATTTTTTATTAATGGAGAGAGGATGCTAAAATCAGTGTTCTTTAGACTATATGCATCACTCACTCTTTAACTCACCAACAGAGTAGGTTCAAGTTTTCCTTCATCCTTTTTACAGAGACTCTCTTAAGAGCATTCCTTGAATTTGCACTTTCTTTCAGGAATTATCAATATTTTCTCTACACGAAAATGTTCTTGATAGAATAAAAATTCCCATCTCATCTCATTTCACTCTTTTGTCTAATTCAACACTTTTAGGTTTTGTTCATCAACAACTCAACTACTTACACAACAACTCCTAATCTAATAGCAACAATACTGCCCGTAGATGTTATCTACAAAGATTGTACTGGTTGGACATAAAGACAACTGTTAGAAAGATAAAATGATTTATATTTTGTTTTTAAAAGTATAGTTGGAGTGATTATTAACTTTGTACAAATAATTTTTTTTAATCATTTCACTCCAAGCAAGGGGATAATGCCGCTAAGATGCAAGGTGTTACTGAGAGTGAAAGAGAATGAGAAGACATTAGTGGGGAGAAAGGGCAATAAAAGAACAGGATTCATGAAGACAGAAGATTGTGATTGACATTGCATTTAAATTTTTGAAGATCGTAGGTGGCAGAGAGGCAAGAAAGCAGAAGAGAGTTCCACAGAAGAGAAGTGCGAGAAAAGAAACTATTAGAATAGAACTTGCAGTTACATCTAATTATTTCAACAGTAAAACTTTGAGATTTATTTGCCAATCTAATAGTATGCTTAAACTCATGTAGTTGAAGTAACAAGGAAGAGAGCTTATTAGAACAATTGCTATGAAAATATTTATAGAAAAGACAGAAGGAAGCCATATCATGGTGGTGGGAAAGTGACTATTCAATATATGGATGAGTGATAGATTTATAAATGTATAAAATGGATTCTGATGAGAAAAATTATCTGGCAAGACACTGTGAACCAACTTTCCTAGCAGTAGACCTAGCAATTGATTCAATATAATCATTCCACTTCATGCCAATGGAAAGAATGAGACTGAGAAGGTGCAGGGAGTTGCTCTCCTAAAGCTTATCATCAGCTAAGCTGATGTAAGGCAAAAATAGTTCTCTATAATGATTAAAAGATAACAGTTCAATTTTTGAGGTGTTAAACTTCACAAGTCATTTCTTGTCCCACTTAGCAACTGATTGGAGGTCATTTTTTGGAGCAGCTGCCAGTTTTACTTTGTTGAACCTATTGGGCTTATTATTAAGATGGGAGTAAATATTTGTTATCAGCATCTTAAATGGTGGTCTACTGATTTCACCTATCTTCTGACAAGTTCTATTCAGAATTTTATGAATGAACTTGGTAAATCTCTTACCATTTGTTTCTTATACTTGCTTCATCCATTAGACAATAACTTTTTCAATTCTGAAACTTCAGTCATGATCTTAGGATGCAGTTAATATTTATTGTACTATAAAGCCAAATGGTAATATCTTATACCCAGCATTGATAGTTTTCAAAATCACTCATATGGTCTTGTGAGAGAAGCTTTATTCTTCTCAGTAGCCTCTTTCCCACTGATGAAATGTCATAAACCTATTGCTTCTCCATTGCTATTTCCATGACAAATGTTCAGATGAGCTCCATTATTTAGTTCCACCATTTCAGATCTTTACAATTAGAACATCATGTTACCTCCAGCAAGTTGAATAATTGTCATTTCCTCTATATTCCAACTGAAAGACAGTTTCAGTCAGGTAGCTTTTTTTCCCAATAACTACTTTGTGGAACAGACACTTGTGTGGATGCTTCTCTGAACACTACAATCTTAACCTCTTCAAGTCAAAGGCAGTTGTTTTCTATCCTCTGTCTTTAAGATCTTCACTTCCTACCACCTCTTCTTTCATTTATATCATTCATCCTAGCCATTTTAACAGTAACCCTCTATCTTGAGTAGCTGTCGAAGCTTGTATTAAATGTACATTATTATAAAAAATTTAAATGAATAGATTAGTATTTTGAAATATTGTATTTTTACTTCAAAATTTTTATCTGTGTTGTGCAGGTGAAATTCTTAATGACAGTCATGCTGAGATTATTTCTCGGAGAGCATTTCTTCGGTAAGCAATATTTTCTTTCTGGTTAAACTTTTAATCAAGATAAAGAGTGATCAAGATTTAGTCATCATCAAAGTTATTTTATCAAATTTGTGATATCATCCAAAAAAATTTAATCATTTTTAATCTTGTGTAAATGGAAATTACACAAATTTACCACTAAAGTAAAAACTTGAGGTTATTTAAAAGGGTGCATCAGTAGGTCTGCAGCTTGACACATAATTATTAACTGACTTTTGACCTGAAATTTTCATTGTATAATATTCAATCTATGTGATGAAATATGTACATAAACAGGGAATAAAATTATATTGGGAAATAAATATTTATTATGTTTTTATCATGAGGCTGTAGACTTATTAATGTATCTACATACACTTGTGGTCAAAATCTTAAGACCAGATACAAAAGGTTTAAAAAAATATAAAATACTGTTACTTTAATCAAAATATATTTGCAAAACATTTACATTTAATTAGAAAATGTAGTTTATCAACCAAGAAGTGAAAAGTTTAAGCTTTTAATTGATTAATTTAAACAAACATTGAAAAAGTATTTTTTTGGTTGGTTTTAAAAATAAGACCATGTAAATAAAAATAGAAAATGCAGAACAAATAAGTCACAACAATTTAATATTCAGTATATCCTACATTTTTGCGAATTACTTCAAAATTTGCTTTGGCATATTCATTATTAACTTCTGCATGAGGGTGCTTGGGGTGCTCGCCCAGGATGCATAAACTGCAGCACGAAGAGTATCCACAGTTTCAAATTACGATCCATGTTTATAAACACCCTTTGTCATCCATCTCCAAACATTCTCGATTGGGTTTTGATCTGGAGAGTATGGTGGATGGCTCAAAAGCTGAATGTTATTTTCCATAAAAAAGTCCTTCGACCTTTGAGTGTTGTGGATTGCAGCATTGTCCTACTGGAAAATCCAGTTTTCTCCACATAGACAAGGACCTTCAGTAATTAGCGATTCCTTTCTTAGCATGTCAATGTAACTAACAGCTGTTTGATGACTTTTTACCTCCTGTAACTCAAGAGTTCCACTGTACAAAAACAAACCCCAGACCATAATTGATCCACCTCCACTGTGTCATGTTGAGAAAATTTCTTTTGGGACATCTTTTGCATACCAGTAACACTGAAAACCATCTGGGCCATTAAGGTTGAATTTTTTCTCCTCTGAAAACAACACTTTCTTCCATTTATCCACATCCCAAGTTTGATAAATTGTAAACATGACATTTTATGGCAAGGAAGAAGGTGAGGCCTCTGCAGCTGTTTCCTTCAACCCTTTCTTATTAAAATGCCGTCAAATTGTCCGAGAGCTGCTTTTATCTAATTTGATGTTAGGCTTGAATCTCTCTTAACTTCTCGACTAATGCATCTGTCTAGAAATGGTGAGATTTTATTAGGATGACCACTTGATTTTTTTAGAAGCATACACATCCGGATTTTTAATGTAGTTAGCAATGACCGTTCTGCTACGGCCAATTTCAGTTGCAATGGCTTGTTGTGAAAAACCATGTCTTTGAAGTTCATCAGTTCTGCCCTGATCAAACTTTGTTAAAATTTTACCCTTAGCTATTTTAAAATCTGAAATTTAATGCTGAAAATGAGCTAAGTAGATGTCTACACACCTGAAGCTATGAGCACACTGACTAGTTCTAAATTTTTTGTCCAGTAATTTTTTTCACACATGGTCTTATCTTTATGACCAACCAAAAAATATTTTTTCAATGTTTGTTTAAATTAATCAATTAAAAGCTTTAAATTTTCACTTTGTTGATAAACTACATTTTAATTAATTGTAAATGTTTTGCAAATATATTTTGATTAAAGTAACAGCATTTTATTTTTTTTTTTTTAAACCTTTTGTATCTGGTCATAACATTTTGACTAGGTGTGTATGTTAAAATTAATATTTATGTTAAAAAAATGTCAGCATCAAAGTATATTTAAACATATTATTTATACCATAGCATAAATTTTTAATATTTTCATTGATGAATCTATCAATTGTTGTAATGATTTTGATGTTATTAAAAATTGAAATTTATATATTTCATTTATTTGTTGTGAAAATTTTAGTTACCTATAAGTATATATTTTGAGTCCATTTTATTGTAACTGTCTCCTACTAAATGACATTGCAATTTTTAAAGCCTTTAAAAAGGTTTTGTTTTTTACATTTGGAAAATTAGCACAGCATATTATTCCTACTATTACAACAGTGCATTTGTATACTTATAAAATTTACTATACCTATCTGTTAAAAATATCTGTGAACTGAACCCTTTATTTAGTCTGTGGGGGTAAACTGTTCTTGTTCCACTGCTCATGTCTAGGGATATCTTGTCTAGTTCTTATTTTGAGTACTGCACAGTTATTGCACATCCTGTTTCCACTGAGGACACACTGCCTGACCTGGGGATTGAACTCACAATTAATATGTCACCACATTCACAAACCAATGTTTTAATCCACTAGGCTATTGTTCCATGGAACAACAGCCAAATATTGTGATGGTAACAACAAAGATGTGGACAATAGTCCACATGTAAATAAAGCAATATATTGTTAGCTTCAGTTCATAATATTTATATTTTATTAAAAATATTGACACTAAGGCAAGCTTGGACCTTTGTGCCTGCAAAAAACAATGGAGTACCAAAAGGAGGGTTTTTCCATTGACAACATTATTATTTTAACTACCTTCACTCCTCGGCAATGTTTATTGTTTTAAAAAGTGATGATTAGAATTGTAATAAACCGTAAACATATGAAAGTGAATTTATACATCTTCTTTGTTCTCAAGAATCAATAACAAACACTATTAGATTGTTTATTTACACTATTTATGAGACTAAGTAAAAATTATCTGCACTTTCGCCATAGCATATCTTTAGGTTTGTCACACTGCCTTCTTCTCATGCATGCTTATAGTTGGTGTTATTGTGGTCATGTGATCAAAGTTTAAGCTTGATCGTGCCAGTTTTCCTGCTGCTGTTACAATGTAAACATGGCCACTCTGCTAGCAGTGTGCACCACAAAGTAACAAAGAGCATTTATCTGATTTCTCTGAATGAAAGGTGTGTCAGGGGCTGAAATTCATCAGAGACTTTTAACACAATACAGTGAGAGACTGTGTAGAAGTGTATATGAGTGGATTGAGAAGTTTAAAAGTAGCCAGATAAGCACGATGCATGAAGGAACAAGATGCCAGTTGATCTTCACTACTGATGAGAAGATTTAGCAAGCTTGAGATAGTAATGGCAAACTGGCGAGTTATCATTGATGAGGTAACATGTTCTCTACAGATCTGGATCATTACTCTTTATTCCTCCTTGATGGACACTTTTAACAGTGGCCATGTTTACACTGTAAAAGCAACAAGAAAACTGGTGTGACTAAGCTCGAACTTCAATCATGTGACCACAATAGTACCAATTATAAGCATGCATGAGCAGATGGCAGTGTAACACATAAAGATATGTTATGGCAAAAATGTAGATTATTTTTTTACTTACCTTTGTAATTACTGTTGATTGGAATGGTTGGCAAAACGCTGGTGAATTGCCAATTGATTTGAACTTTATAAAATGGTAAATAAGGATTTTCTTATAGTTGGTTCATATATTGTAATAATTTAGTAAATGTTTATAAATTTATGAATAAAAATTTGTTTTCATATATATTTGTTTATGAATTGAAGTTTGGAAATATGCAGATGGGGTAATGTATAATGGCTCAGAATTGGAAATCTGAGATTTTAATTCCAATCAGGTTCATTATATTCACTTATGAACAAATACCTTTTTGGAAAGGTACAAATCCACCTCTTCTACCTTTAGCTATGGGATAATTAGTAGGAATTGTATCAGTAAATCATTATTATCTCCAAAATATTTCTTACAATCTAAAAAATATTTTCTGGCTTTAAATAACCTGCAAATGGTTGATAAGCCATAAAAAATAAATCAAATTTTTACAGATCTTTCTTGAATTATTGGGAAATCAGTTTTCATGTACTTTTCCCCAACATATATGTTTCTCTTTGTGATGTTTTCTTAAAAGGTAGTAACTAAAAAGGTAGTTTTTATGTCTTTAACCAATGTTCTTAATATTCTGCATCTTTTCTCTGTTTATATCCATAACACTATCTTCTTCAAATAATTTTTTCCTTTAGTAAAGACTTCTCCATTTGTAGGCTGGTTGACATGGATTTTACTGTTTCAAATAATATTGATGTCTTTTAATTTTATAATCTAATATAGTGTTCTGTGAATATTTAATTTTTAGTTATCTGTACCAAGAGATAGGATCTGCATATTCTAAAGAAGGGAGTGATATATTTCACCTTCAATCCCTTCAAGAAGGAAACCTGTGTGTACTGAAACCTGGAATATCATTTCATTTCTTTATGAGTCATACTCCATGTAAGTTCAAACCATTTTTATTCTTCCTTGCTATTAACTGATTCTATTTGTATTTTTTTTTTTAAATATCTAAAACTTGAATGGATTTTAGAATTTATTTACTCAGATTTTTTGTTCTCAATTTTAATTCTTTTTTATTTGCTGATTATCTTATGGCATTTTATCACTCTTCATTTGTATCCTGATTATTAATTCGTAGAACCTGGATAGCTGACTACTTGCCGATAGAGTATCCTTGGACATTTTGGGTAAATTTCACTATTACAGAAATGTTTGTGCCAATAAGCTAGTACTGCAGGTTCAATGGATTAATCTGATTCCCAAATAAACTTTATATCTGAGAATATTAAGAAAATCTGTTGAAACTAACAGTGATTTGAAAAGTGATCATTGATTTCTAGTTTTTAAATTTATTGCTCTGGTTAACAAACAATTGCATTTTACAAATAAATAAAAAAAAATACTTTTAGAATGTCTTCTATTATATATCTGGGACTTGAATCTTTGTTAATTGTAGAAAAATGTTATAGATTGCATAAATAAGATGTAATCTTTGAAAGGTCAACAACCACAAAATTCCTCATCTGTTTTACTTGTTCTTCAAAAAATGTAAATATTTACAATTATTTAGTAATTGTGGTTGCTTATCTGTTTGTTTGCATTTTTTCACAAGAGGTCCTGTTTGTTATATATATTTTTATATTGTTTTTTTAATTTGACATTATTTTATTTTATTTTTGGTGTATACATGTGTTTCAGTTGATATTCCTGTTATTTCAAACAGTGAAATTAATGCCAGCTGGCCTAGAAATGGAGAAGTCTTTATTAAAAAAAAAATATCAGGAAGCACATTTTCCTTTAGTAAAGACTTCTCCCTTTCTAGGCCAGATGATATTAATTTCACTGTTTGAAGTAACAGGGATGTCAGCTCGAACACATGTACACACTAAAAATAACATCTGTTTCTTCCTCCCTTAGTGCCTTAATTAACATGTATGTTATGCCTTGCCAATACCTCATAGATAATGGACTATTCTGTTTTTTATCATGTGGTAAAAATGGAAAAGACATATCAGAGATACTACTTGATTTCAGTGAGAAAATGAAAGAAAGAAAGAAGGGAAAGTAGAAGTCATAACATTCATGTGTTTAATGCCTTTTTCAATGAAAAGTTATCCATTTCAAATCTTTTCATTTGTACCCTCTTACTTCAAATAAGGACAAGCATTCTTATTAATAATTGTTATTGCAATATTTTGATAAAGTTGTTAAGCTCAAATATTTAATGATATTATAGGGGAATTTCTACAGATATTTTATTATTGTAGACTTACCATGAGCTTATTTAGTCATTAACTAAAAAATTAAGATTCATCAGAAAATTCAAATAAGAATTTCATGAAATTTTCACTGGTATTTCTAGTTTATAATAATAGTTAAAAATATATTTCTTATCAGATTTAAATGAAGAAAACGTTGAAAGTATATGTAATGTATATACATATACAAATAATGAAAGTATATTAGATGGAGAAACACTGTTAGACAACATTTACATAATATACCTTATCTGGAAAAAATATAATTGTGACTTGATTTTATTTGTTTAGGTGGTGATGCATCTATCTTTCCTAAAATGACAAAAGAAATGTCTGACTGCATTGGTGATGAATGTTCCAGCACAAACCCACACCAACCTGAGAGTGAACAAAAAGAAATTGAACCTCCATTGCCAGAAGATTCTGGAGAACCACTGCCAAAGCAAGCAAAAATTGATGCTGTCCAAATACACCCAGAACATTCCCAACTGTCTGCTAGTAAACTTAAGCTGAAAGATATTTCTTCTGAAAATGTGAGTTTACTCTACATTGAGAAAAGTGAATTTAAATATTCATGTTTTAAAAGTGTGCCTAAAAAATTCAATTTTATACATTATTATCACATTACGAACATTATGCTTAAGGTTTGGATTTTTCTTTTTCTACATCTGTTTTGTTTCAGTGTGTGGACAACATTCTTTACTGCTTAATCATACATTGAAAAGTTATGACAACAATTTTTTTTTCATTACTAATAATGTTAATAAGCTTATCAGACAATATGAAAGGAATTATTTAAAATAAATAGACAAAACTTGTCCATATTATTTAATGAAACATGCATCAATGAAAAATTGCTGCCTAAATACACAATATACATATATATATATATATATATATATATATATATATATATATAATGCATGTATTTGTGTGTTATCATGCTCTGTGGGAGTTTTGTCCTTTCCCTCTCTCTAATGTGTATATTGAAATTACGTCTGAAAATTTAAAAAAAACAGTAAACATATTACACTTTGATCTGATGTACAATCTCAGAAAAGTTTTATGATGCACAGTTTGGATAATACAATGAACAAATTTCACTTCTGTTAGTTTAAAATATGATGAAATCAAATTTTTATTTTTTTAGCAATTTCTAAGTATAAATTCTGGTTTGTGAATATTCTTGAAGGAACTAATAAAAGATAGTTTTCAAAGAAATGAACATGATTTTCAAAATTTTTCTTTTTCCATTTTAATCAGAAAATAATATAAAAATCTATATCTTTTAAGCATAATATTAAACAGGAGAAAATATATTATTTTTTTTTTTTTCATAAAGAATACCATTTTTATATTGTAGGAAAAAATGAGGGAAGAGACCATCAGAGAGAAATGTAAAACAGTGCCATCAAATCCTCCTCTCATAGAAGATATATTCCGCACAGGTGCAAAATGTGTTCCTGAAGGTGAACAGGATGAGCATGCACCTGGTATAAGGTACCATTGTGTTGGCGTGCTTCGAATCAAACCTGGACGAGGGTGTCGCACTTTGAGTTTGTCATGCAGTGACAAAATGGCCAGATGGAATATTCTTGGTTGTGAAGGGGCTTTACTGAATCATTTTCTTCTAAAACCAATTTACTTTGATTCTTTCATTCTTGGAAGGTAAGTTTTCTTATTATTTCATATACACATACTGAATTCATTTTCTAAATGTACTGTCCATGCTCACAAAAGGGTCTGGCTGTTATTATTTACACTGTGTAGTTGTGGATTGTAATAAAGTATAATTTGTTGTAAAAGTTGGTAAGCAGTTTAACCAATTAGTATGAAAAAGGAAGCATTATTTTTGTACAAGTTAAATTCTGTTCAAACATTTGCATCTAGGACACTATGGTGAGTGTAGATTTTACAAGTAAAATCAGCAAACCTGAAAGAGCAAATTTGGGTAACTCAGATTAAGTAAGTGAATATAACTATTTTTTTTTAATATTTTTTTATTTTTATTTTTTTTAATATTTTTTTATTTTTATTTTTTTTAATAATCATTTCATCCCAAGTCAAGGACACATGGCACAGTGGATAAAGGTGTTAGTTAGATCCAGTGACAGGACCCAAAGAGTGTGAGTTCAATACCTGGCTAAGGCAGTGGAGAACTTTCAGAGGGAAATTAACAGGAGACAACTGATAACTGACATCCATTAAACATGGCACGTGGAACTAGAACAGTCTACCCCAGTGAGTGAAATAAAGGGTTCAGTTCGACATTCCAACTACCTGAAGAAGACCGAAACATTGTAATAAATATCGCAACAAAGATGACGACAATAGTCCGAATAATGTACATAATACCTCATCTCAGAAATATAGACATACATATATATATATTCCTTTATTATAATTTTATCAAATAGACAAAACCATTTTACTCACTACAAAGATGCAACTTGGTTTCAGTGCATTTCAACTGCACTTCAACGGGTGAGAATCGAAAATGGTTATGAAAAATCCTGAAATCCTACTTGTAGGCAAGCTGTGTGTGAAACATCACTTCCTTTTTTCCATTTGTTTGAGAAGAAAAAAAAAATATAGGTGGCAGAGTGAAACAATAGTGCTTGTTGATAGCAGTTTGGTGATGAATGGATTGGGTATTTAATGTTCACTGGTCTGTGGAAATTTTTCTGCTGATAAACACCGGTCAAAAGTCCAGTCACATCATCTCACAAGCGTCCTAAGAGTGAGAAGTAGGGGAGGAAAGATGGAGATATGGGATAGTATTACGTTTAAGTAGGTAAAAATTGTAGCGATATTTCTAGTAATAATTGGGAATTTTATTTTTGGTTTACTATAAAAATTCTAGAGCTGAATTGCATGTATTTATGTTGGGGTTATCACTACTAATTCTGTAGTCAATGAACATGTTTTGTGGATTAAAATTTAGAAGTAGTGATTTCCTCTAAAAAAATAAGGGATGTTAATATAACCTTTTATAATCAAATTTTGAAAATTCCTGGACTGTATAACGTGTAGAATAAGTATGGGTGTAAAAACGATTTATCTAAAAATATTAGCAGTAATATATATGAAAGAAAAAAAAAATTTAAGAATCATAGTTTAATTAGTGGAGAGGTACATAAGAGGTTAGGGAATATATTGAAGGAGGTGATTTATAATTTTAAAATGTTTATAGTTATGGAATTAAGAATTTAACAAGATTGTAGGTTTAGATCCTTAATAAGTCTACAGAAAACAGTTGTTTCATATCTTTGATTTAATAATTGGGTGTTATTCAAGAGTTCAATGATACATATTTTCTCCTGTAAACATAAGAAGCAAGGTTCGTTCAGAGAATTGCAGGTTCTGGCTTGTCTGAGGATTTTCCATTTAACCTTAGGTGTTTTTCCTTCTTCCTTGAGTCTCCAAAAATATTTCAAAAGTGATGTCATATTTCATTTGGCCATATTTGTAAAGGAGTTCATGTGATTGTAATACCTATCCTTAAAAGGTCTGCTAGTTGACCCCACATACAGCCTAATACCTCTGGGGTTCTCATTTGATGAGATATAGCACATATACACTATGGATTTGGTTAAGCAGCTGTTTAATAATGGACATTGATCAGGGATTCTACAATTACATAGCTTTTTTTCCTGGGATGTATTAGAACTTGTATTTAGGTTGCGTTTATTATCTCTATGAAGTTTCAGTATTCTATTGTTATGAGATTTAATAATTTTATCTAGATTTCTAGAATAGCTATAGCTAATTTTTAAGGTATTGCGGTTAAAGATCTGGTTTAATTTACTCTCTGGTTTGATCTGATCAGTTGTATATCCACTGATTAGTTGTATTCATTTATAAACTTTCCTATTGTGTCTAGCTGCCTTCAAATGAGCATTTCACTCACAGCCTTTCTATGTATCCTGGCTTTCCCCATACGAGCGTCTGATATCCACTTATGCATACATGTAGAATCTCTGAACAAATGCAGCACTTTTGCATTCCATTGAAGGGCTCCTTTAATGAATCCAATTCTGACAGGTTGATATGTCGCATATCCTTCTTTGAACGCAGACAATCAATGCACCATCTACCACATAGTCATTTTGATGTACCCTGGTAATGATATCCGTTATGTTTCTAAGGGAAGCATCAGTTGCTTTGTCATCCCAGCTGGAAGTGACTGCAGTCACCCTGTGCTTGATGAAGGCAACCACAACACAGATCCAACCAACCACAGGAAAATGTCCCACATAATGAGAACATGCTGTGTTGTGTAATGTGTCCAGGAATCTTCAAGATCTTGTGAAGTGAAGCATATTATAAAAAGCAGACCAGCAAGCTATGCACACAGCATTGTCTTCTAGTCATTTTGAGTTTTTACCCTTGAGCCCAAACTCGGCAAGATGCTGTCTCACCTGTGCAGCAGGTACTATGGTTCCATTGGTGTAGATTTCGTCAATATAAGCTGATGTCACTTGGCAAATTGTTTTGTTCTTAGGTAGCACAGCATCTACGATGGCTTCCATGATGGTCAGCACCACATTGAGCCCGAATCCCAGTCACATTAGTCAGTATCTCTGCCCCTTAAAGATCACAGTGATCAGTGCATGCATACATGCAAGTAAGCCTTTTGGAAATCAAGGACAGATACATTGGATCCCTTCCCTCACCATCCTCTCAATTTTTGTGCACAGGCATGAGTCATGTATGTTTCTACATGTTCATTCAGTTCCTGATAATCTAGTATGGGATGCACCTTTGTTCCTATGCACCATGGCCATTAGTGGGATGAGGCCTCTTGGAGGACCAAGCTTTTCTTCAGGATATGGAGTCAGACATCCATTATCAAGCCACACCTGTTCATGCTGGTATTCCCCCCTGATGTGTTCAGGCACCAAGTACTCTGACACCTGGTTCTGGAGCTTCCTTGATGGGTTATTTTCTGACCATTTCCATAGTATTGTTTATGCCTTTGTACTTTGGTCAAACTCTGCACTAAAGTCAGGCCCATCAATCCTCAAGGCAGCACAGATAGGCGGACTAGAAAACTGAACTTTGCTCAACTGTGATGTGTACTCCGTCCAGCTCCTTAATATCATCCATCCCAAGGAACAGGTCAAATCCCAGTAACGTGATGTCCATGACCAAAACACTGATAGTGACTGAGTCACTGTTGTTGACAAGTTTCTTTAATTTCCCTTCGACAGACCACGCACAAAACATAAATTCTTTCTCAAGATAGGTGATTTTCTCTTTCGTTATTTTTAATTGAAGACCAACATCTTCTGAAGATGAGAAAAATGGACATTGTTATATTAACATAATCAACCACAACTCATTTGTTAACTAAATATTGGTAAGCTACAAACATGTTTTTCTGAGTTCCCTTTACCTTGTGTCTTCAAATTGTCTGATAGCCAAAGTTGTTTGGTTTGGTTTAATTTTATTTTACGGCATATCAACCTCAATGGGTTATTTAATGCCGACAAAATTTTTTATTTCAGGTAATATTTTGTTTTGTCAAAAATCTGTTTCTGGTAATATTTTTTCTTCAAAATTGTATTGCTGGTAATAATTTTTTTCACAAAAGCATTGCTGGTAATAGTTAACTATTTGCCCATAGCTGGAACCCTAACAGATGCTACCACCTCAGGTCAGGGTGGACCTGGGAACACCAGCAATTAAGTGGTGGTTCCACACTCCTCAAAACCTCCTGATCAGAGGCCTTGCTGCTGGATATAGTTTATCATCTTACCCAGGACAGCCAAAGTTGTTTTTACGGATATATTAATAAATATAGAAGTATAAATTAATATCAAATTTTGCTAATTTAAATTTCAGTATCATTTGATTAGAAAAAAAAAATTGTAATTTTGTTATATACTTAATAATTGTATATTTCCCTAATTTAGTTTGTGACATTTCTTTACAGATGTCCATACAGTCAAGAAGCTATGTATAGAGCCTTAATGGGGCGGCTGCAAAAGAAGTCTGAACATTTAAATTTGCCAGAGAATTACCATGTGCATAAACCAATGATCATACAATCTTCTCTTGAGTTTCCTGATGGAAGAGATTCTCAGAATTCCTTTAATGAAAATAGTAAAAATGAAAAACTTGATCCTTGTAATACATGTAAGTTAACATTGTTTTTTTTTGTTATATAAGTTGGAAAGAAGGAAGAGCTCTAAGGAGAATCAAACCCAAATTTAACTAGACAGAATTCAGTAACATTGAGCAAAACCAATACTACTCATCCTTTCTCACTTGAGAAAGAGACCATAAATGTATCCTCAAAGATGTCAAAAAACATGTTGTTGATAAAGAAACCAGGTTGGTCACCAAAATAAAATTTAAAGATCTGGACAAAAAGTCAGGAAAAACCATCTGGGTGGTCAATTCAAACCAGATGGTTTTTCCTGACTTTTTGTCCAGATCCAAGTTTCCTTACAAATATAAAGATTACCCTGATGGGTTCATTCATTTTAATTTTTGTGACATTCATCAAGAAAATTTTATATCCGATGTTAATTCGGATTCCTTTGGATACAAGTGATAATGGAGAAAAAAAAAATTAATATTTTGGAGTGACTGTGGGCAAAAGGCTGTGTGGTCTTGTTGATTGAGAAAACACAAACTTTTGTTTTTATCAGAAAAGAGATTGGCAATATTTTTCCCCTTCCCACCCATGACAATTCTTGAGATTGGTTGAAAGTGGGGATCATCTGAAAGTTTGGATTCGTCACAGGGATGGTGTGCCAGCCCTTGGAGTGAGTTGAGGTGTGTGTGTGAGAGAGAGATGAGATGGAGTTAAGGGTCAGTTTGATTCCTCTGACTCCCCTCAAAAGGGTTTTGGACAAACCCTAAATTTGGAAAATCACTCAAGTAAACATATTTTGAAAAAGGTCGATGCTTAGGTTGGAAGACAACCGAACACAGACCCTATTCAACCCCACCTCTACCAGACGCAGAACTCCATATAAGCTGGAGGTTTAGACAACTTCAAGAGACCTCCTGACAAAACCTTGTGCCAGCCCTGAAGATCAAAACTTAGAAATTTAAGTTATTACTAAAACAAGCTGCAGTATCATTTGATGATAAACAACAAGTGGGAAGGGTTAAAACCACTGTATACACCAAATCATATATAAACCAAATTGTTGTTACATTTTTAACCAAGTTAATTCTTTATTCCAGAGAATTCTTTTTTCATGTAGCTCCCAGCTGTTGACCAGTCTTCACTTCAGTTTGCTTCATCAGCAATCTTCTCACACTTTGAGATTAAAAAAAAAAAAAGAAACACGTGGCAGAAGATTGAATGGTTCTGAACAGGCAAATGTGAGCCGAGTGGAACCATGCCTACCATCATCATGATACCAATGACAAATGAGCCACACATTAACAAGTGGGGAGTTAGCTAGATAATAACCACAGTGGTCTGAAGGAACTTGTATACCTATGTGGAGCTACATTATTGCTTGCCGTTGATGAGGAGTGACTCATGGGGTTACACATTCTTAAAATAATTTTAATGATTCAACTTACAATTTTCAAAATGGATTTGTTTCTATAATTTTAATTCTGGGACAATTTCATTGACTTGTTAATAGCTATCAAATAGTAATTAGGTAATAACATTTACTTCTAATTTTGTATTGACTATTATTCTTGAGATCATTACAAAAGTGTTTTGATATAGTTTCATGTATATGAGCAGCAAAACTGACATTTGAAAATAGTAGTGTTGATTCAGACTGAATCCAGAGTTGTTCACATATTGGTGAAAGATGTGTATTCAAAGCTCCCAACTCTACAGAGACAAGAGAGAAACATTTTTAAGAATTGACTCTTTCAATAACAACATATTCATAAGTGCTGCCAACTTGTAATTATCAACTCAGTTTTTTACAAAACACTACTGACTCTCTGAGGATGAAATTACTGCAACTAATTTGTCTTTATTTAAAAGAAAAAAAAATTCTCTTTAAAACAAGTGATCATAACTCTCCACATTTTTTTTTTATTATCTGTGAATTGCCATGACTCAAGGCTAGAAAAAAACCCTTAGAGCTTCAGAAAAGTTACAATTGGAATTTCAAGAAAAAATGAATAATGCCAGGTTGCAACAGAGAAATAAAAGCAAAATTAGACATGTTATTATAAAAATAAATAAAATTTCTTAGTTGTGATTAATGTCCTTTCACATTCCAATAATTTAAGATGGTAGGGTTTCTTAAAAAAAAAAAAAAAAAAAACTCTACTTTAAACCTAAAGCACAAACTGGCGAATTTTATTTTGAAAAAATATATTAAAAATCTAAGAATATAGATATGCATACACATTCTGTTTTGCATTCAAATGAGGATTTCTTGAAACATACTTGTATTTGTTTGTGTAATCAATAAAACCTGTTATATTTCCTTTTAGCAATTATCTGGTACATGATTGGGAGAAAATCTTTTGAAGAAGTGGCTGTAAATGGCAAAAAACAGGGCGTCACACAGAAGAACAGTCATAAACCTTCTTCCAGGTAATTATTTTCTGTATTTATGCCTGATGACTCCTTGTAGGCACACAGGACAATAACCACAATACTCTCTCATGCTTAATATATGCAGGAGGAGGATTCAATTTCCATTTTTACAATTTTTTTTATTTCTTTCCTTTAAATCATCTCTATCCACTTATTATGACTGCTGCAATTTAGTTTTTATATGTCATGTCAACTCCTTTGACTTGTGTGCTAAGATTATCAGTACCAACTTATTCCCTTCTCCAACTAAAAATTCACAAGAAATTTCTAACCACTTTCCTAGACTCCACTCGCTTATTAAGCATCAGAGATTAAGTGAGGATGTGGTTTCAAGTAACAAGTGTCTTATTAAATGGGTTTGGGTTATTTGCCTGACACTCAAGATCAACTGCCCAAGTATTTACTCATAGCTAAGAGCAGGTGGGGATTAATGCCTTTCTCAATGGCATTAGTATGAAGTGAATGAAAACTAGCTCAGGTCACAGTCTTCATTTTTTGCTAGATGTTATGCCAAATGAACTTTTTTTTTTTTTTTTTTTTATATAAAAAATTTAAAATACAACATTTATTTAATGTAATAATTGTTAAGTTTTACAGCACTACTAATTTTTATAGCTAATTAATGAAATCTCATACAATCAATTGCTAATAAGTTAATTTTCATTCTTTACTAGATAGTCAACTTACTCCAACAAATATCTGTAAAGATAAAGCAGTGGTTAGCAAGCTTGATCTGCAATCCTGTGTCAAGAATTTTAATCATTATTAGATCCTTCATTGTAATAACTGTGCCAAATGGTTTTGTTTAGTAAATGTCTATAAGTATGAACAAAGTGTGTAATTGGTTTCATCTACAAATAGATGATGCAATGTGGTTTAGTAGTTAGTTATTTGTAAATGTCTAAAAACGCACAGCTTGTAATGCTTTATGTCCTACAGACCAACAAAGATATTTTTCATCTAATAATAAACATTACTTGAATATTCATTACTTTTTTTAAAACTAAACTTAACCTAATTTTGGTACAAGGTCACAGGTATGAAACAGCAAGAATTGAACTTACTACATTAATTAATGAATTTGAGATATTTGATCTTTAACAAGAATATAGTTCCCTCTAAATATGAATGCAACATGTATGTATTCTTGTTCATATTTTTATAATATATATATAAAATAAGAGCTATAATTCATAGGTAAGAGAGAAAGAACAAAGAAAAAGTTAAAAAATGATGTTACTTAAGTTTTTTTTTGTTTTTTTTTTTTCCAGACTTACTATTTGCTCCAAAGAATTATTTGCAGAATTCAAGAGAATTCTGGAAATTTCTATCAAATTTAACAGAGTGCCTCAATCCTTAAAAGAGTGAGTTATTGCTTTCTGTTATGATAAGCATTAAATTTCTAGTTTTATTTTAGGGAAATAATTACAAAAACAGCATAGTGGCTCTCAGTCTACCTGGACTAATTCTAATTAATTCATTATTCAAATAAAATTTTATTTTACATCAGTAGATTTAAATCATAATCTATAAACAAGAAAAAATCTGATTGCTTTTCACAAACTTACATAATTTTTTTTATAAATATATTTTTAATATTTGTGTAACTTGTATAGAATTGATTTCAACTTTACATGAGTATCTTCCAAAACTCAGATCAGAAACACAACATTAAATCTTGCAACATCCCTTGTCTAATGATATGAAAAAAAAAAAAAGAAAACATTTAGTTTATACAAGATAATCTTTTTCATCAATACTCAAATAAAACATACAGTGAAAATTTCAGATCAAAATTCAGCTAAAAACTATTTTGATTAAGACATAATTGTTTCTTTCAGATTTTCAAACAAAGGCTCTCAATATACATACCACACATACAAAATGGCAGCCAAAGATTATCAGAGAGCCTGGTCGGAGTTGAGAAGAGGACCCTTAAAGACCTGGATCCAAAAATCCAGAGAATTAATACAATTTACTCTAAAGTGAATTCTTTAGAAATTAAATAAAATTATATATTATTTTTTCATCCTTACTTTGTTTGAAAATATTTATTAAAAAAAAAAAAAAAAATTCACTAATTTGCAAATTTATCCAGGAAAAACAAATGTTGATTTTATGGTACCTGTATAGTTATAACATTAAACTGAATTAAGTTAAATATACTTTATTGAATGGCTGAATGAAAGTTTATAAATTTAGATTATTTATTATTTTTTTTTTTTATTTAAAAAGTACACAAATGCACAATAGCTGATAAAACTTCTGTCTGAAGCTTCATCAGATGAACAAATAAAATCCTGAATAAGAGATCAAGAGCTTGCCCAATTCTAAAATGGTAAATTTTCATACATTTAACATTACAATTTTAAACTAACCCAGTATATACCAAAATAAAAATAGAAAATAAATTATATATTTATTTATTAATATGAAAAGATACAGGGCTGTTTATCCCTAATTTTCCTGTTTTTTTTCTTCTTTCTTTTCACTACCTGAGATTTTCAAAGTATAGTTTATCATGTTCAAAGACAAAAATGCTTATCTTATAACATTCCTGTAATAATCTTTTTTTTTATTATATAAAGTGTTGATAATACAGTTATGTTGACAGGGCCAATGAATGACTAACACAGGAGCATATGAAAAAATGTTTTAGTTTATTTTTGTATCAAGTACATCCCAACCAAGAGCATCATCATCCCAGCCAGTTGTGTCCACCTAAAATAAAGTAAAAAAAAAAAAAATTATAGAAACTGTAAAACATTTTTTTTTCCTCATATAAAATGACCATTTACAAAAGGTAAAATAAAACATTTTTAAAAATAATGTTGAAAAAAATTTCAGTTTCCTTACTCTTAAATTTTCATAAATCTACTGTTTTGGTAGTTTTTTTTCATTTTTACACACATACATAAAGGGCAGGATCAATGTGTACAACTGACTATTAAAGGATGAAAAAATCTTTGCCTTTTTTTTTTTTTTTTGTCTAAATCTATGGATTTATTTTGTTTCCCTAAGTCAGAAAAAAAAAAAAAATTCACTATATTTTTTTTATCCATAAATGTTGAATATATTAAAATTATTTAACTTTTTAACAAGGAAAATCTCCAGTTGATGCTAAATATTGCCACAAAACATTGTTGATTTATTTAAGATGGAATTATCTATTATGACATGTCTCTAATTTGTATTTAGATACATTGTATTTATTTTCAGTTACAATAAAATTTGTATTTTATATGGATACTACCATATAAAAATGGGTGGGTGCGAGGCACGAGATCCTTGCACCATTCCTATATGTATTAAATACTAATAATAATTTCAGAGAGATTGTTCTTCCAAAATTATTTTAAAAATTAGCTAGTATGAAATGCAAATTCATCAAAAGTTAACAATTCTTACCTCAGCAGCATCTTCTGATACTGCAAAAGAGAGCTCAATTGAGTTTGATGATATATTGTCTACTGTCACTGGGTTATTATTGACAGGAAGTGATAACAGTTCGTTTTTTGGTGTTGGTAATATCACAGGTTGCATATCAACAAAATAGTCTATTTCATCTTTTTTCTTTGTAACTTTAATATGCATGATATCATATTCTTCGCCCAGTGATTTTTGAGAAAGATTTTTTGAAGCACTTGATAAATTTGGAACATGACTAACATCTTTATTAAGAGGGGTTTGAGTTTCTGCTGTGGGTAGCAAACAATGTTCATTTATTCCCCACTGGTCTTCATAAGACTCTTCAGGATCAATTCTGATTGGATTAGAATGGATTTTGTTCACAGCATTTATACGATCAACCTCCTCTATAAAGTCTTTTTTTGTAACTGAGAGTTGATCAATAGAATTGACAGTTGGAGAAATTTGGTGGAGTTCTGTATCTATTTCTTTAATATTCAAATAGTCATTGTCACTCCAACCTGAAGAGTTATTATCCCAGTCTGGCCAATCACCTTCATGTACAATTACTTCCTGTTCATCATCAATCTCTTGGCAAATTTCCTCTTTCACATGGACAGCATCTTCAGAAACGATGTAAGGTTGGGATTTGCTTGGGCTTATGTTTGTTATCACAGCTGCTAAAAAGAAAAAAAAGTAAAGCTTAAAAAATTTCTTAAAATGCTTCTTATTTACCTACAAACAATTTTTTTTTTTTTTACAAATATAAGATCAATCTTTATTTTCTGTTGATACTTGAAGTAATAGTATTTTAGGTTTTTTCTCACTTAAATATATTTATTCATTTTTAGTATATAAATTACTTCAGTATGAATTAGTTTGAAATATTGAACTAGGCTACTAATTTAGTATTCTCATATTCTGTTGAATTTTCTTTTACAAGTTTACTTAATATCTTTCAATTTCATCTTCTTAAAACTTCCATTTCAGAAATGTTGACGGTAATTTAACAGATTTAAAAAATGAACATCATCAAACCAATGTACACAAAGGTTTTTGGAATTCTAGCCTTTCAAGACAAAGGTGCTATATTTTTACATTGTATAATCTTTTTCTTGTAGTAATTCCTAATGTTAGTGGTTTTTTAATTTGATGTCAAATATATTTTTAAATATATCTTTAAAAACTAAGAGTCTATAGAAAAAAAGAAGTCCTCTTATTGATGGCACATACTGCTGGAAGAATAAACTTCTCTAAGTTTTTAATAAAAAATATGAAAGAAATCTACGGTAAGGTGAATGATTATTACTTGGAGCAATATGAGTTTTATGGTTATATTTTGTAATCAATAACTTGCATACAAGTTTTTGTGGTGGTGAAAGTTTTTTTTTTGTATCAGCTGCACTGATTGCTAGCTCAGCAAAATTGTATGAAGTTTAAATTCTGACTTCTCTTCCATTATGTGCCATTTAGAAATAAGGCATTAATAAATAATTTCATGTGTAAGGAAAGAATTGTTTTAGCATCCATTTGAACAAATACTACTTACTTTGATCTTTTATTGATATTCTAGAGTCCTTGATATCCTCTGGAGGGGAACATTTGTCCTCAGCTATAAATTTCTTTTCAGTTTTTAAATTTAATCGCCTAAAAATAAAAAAAAAAAATAATATATATTGTTGATCAATTCAGTTTTTACAAACATTAATACAAAAGTTTTGCAATATCTTTTGACAAAATCTTTTTGTTATATAAAAATTCATATTCAATCATCAATATTTTTCCTGGATTTTTATGATGTTATGTTACCTTTTTATTCTTTCATAAAATAAGGATTTCATTTTTGATAGATAAAGAATTTTGTTTGGGAGTGACAGAATATGCAACATGCAGAAGAACTTTCTATTCCCACTCCATGATAATTTGCTGCATCACATTTTAGGAAATTACTGTCATGCAGAAAAAGAAAAAAAAATCAGTTGAATTTCAATGCATCATTCAGATGAACTATTTGCTTTTGCATTGCAAAATAAGTTTATCTAGAGAACGGACCAATAGATTCTGCACCAGACAAAATTACTTTGGAAGCTTACAAAATGAATAGGCTAAATTCTGAAGGGGCAGGAAAATGTGAAGCAAATAAAAAGCAATAATATTAACAGAAGTGTCTTCACTTACTTTGGTGCAGTAAAGTCATTTATAACAGATTTGGTCATTATGCTGTGTAAGTTGTTAGGCTTTTTGCCCATTTCCTGCAACTGAGTAACCTGAAACTAGTGAAAATATATTATTTTTTGCTTTATATTGGATTCTTAAGATAACTTAATAAACAGAATAAATGAGTACAACAAAGATAAAATCAAACTTTTTCATTTATGTATTTTTTTTAATTTAAAAAAAAAAAAAAAAATGAATGATTATTCAATTAGTAGAACTGATTCAAAACAAAATTGATATTATGATATTTAATGTTTAGAAAATTAATTAAAAAAAAATGTGCGCTCAATTTAGATCTTTTGATTGTCCAACAAACTTATAAAAGATTTTGTATCAATTACACAATTTAAATATTATTGAATTAAAATTCATCAGTTACAGCAAAATAACTTATTCATTTTAATACAAGAAATTTAAGTAAGCAAATGTAGAGAATAAATACAATCTCATTAAAACTTCAAATAATAATGTTATTATTACCTTAGGTTTTCCTTCTTTAAAGTAAGCCTTTTGTGGTCCTCCAATGACTGTCTCACCACCCAGGATAGGAACAAGATCTCCAAGAGCATATAAACTTGCAGACACCAAAGAATCATTGGTATCCCGTAAACCCAGAAGCAGCTGAAATTAAGAAAATCTACATTTTACAAAATTGCTTTTTCAGGGTTTACAAATGGTTTGTGCAGCAGAAAACCAATATTTAATGCAGGTGGTAGTAGTAGTAGTAGTAGTACTACTACTACTACTACTAATAATGTATAGTAAGTTGGAACAAGTATCAATTTATGTTCACTTTCAATGGCTTCTTTTTGTTAATGACAATTGAATATATATATATATATTTATGCTTCTATTCAACACTGAATAATTTTTTTCTATTACAATTTTTTTTTAATCCATCATATACTTCCTATTCACAAACTACTTCCCTTCATTAAACAATGGTCTGTAATATATGTTACTAGCAGCATGGCCCGGCGTTGCCAGTGCTTGATTCAAAAATTGTATGACTCGTACAACAATCGCTATCACTTGACTTAAAATATTTTTGCCCTTCCTTGCTTTTAAAGGAGTGCCCTTTGCCGTGCTGATGTTGCTACATGCCTTACTTCTTGCCTATCTCACACTGTGAATTTTTTCTAAGCTCTATACTAAAGATTAAATCTGTTACAAAAAAGAACTAAACAAAATGAATGCAAAACGATCATCTTTAAAAAAAGGACTCGTAACTGGAAAAACCGAATGAAAAAAGAATGTTAACAACAAATACTTTTTCACACCCAACCCAGTTCTGCGGAATCAGAATCAACGTTGAGTTTAAGGAAGCAAATGAGCCAATTGGAGTAAAGTGCCATGCAGATTTAAATTTTTCCCACTTGTGACGAATGCAGCTATTGATTTTTTTTGCATGCTAGTTAACATTTGTGTCTGTCATGGCTCTCATGCTGACCAATAGAATCTTCCTGCCTATTTGTGGCAGCCAGCTATAGGCTCTCACTCTGGCCAGTACAAAATGGCCGCAAACTACATGAAAACTGCCGTAGAAGCATGAAAATATCGATTATTTCCACTATCAATGGGAGTTGGGAAATGCAAAGTTGGTCTTGGCCTTCTCGCTAACTTAGAGCATGTGCATGTAAATTTTGGTGCAAATCTGTCAAAAATTGCGGCCGTGCATTGGTTACACACACGCACGCACGCGTGCGTGCACACACACGCACGCGTGCACACACACCCTGCCTTTTATAGATAGAGATTTATTCAGCTTAGTTTGGCACAAAGCCATAAGCATGAGGCATTACAAAGGGAGTGAATTCACTACTTAGTCTGGTTGGTCATCATTATCAGTATTTGTCAGTGCTTAATTGATCTTTTGTTTCACTATTCTATGCCCAAAGCAGAATTTAATTCAACTTTACATATTTACAAACAGTGGTTGTATTATAATTAGATAAAAGTAAGGCTGCTAGAATTTTGTGCTTCTAACCAGTACTACTGAATATAAAAATCTAAATTACCTTTGATGCTAGAAACACTTGAAAAAGAAGACACCAAGAAAACCTTTCCCACCTTTTTTTAAATTCAGAATTAATTTTATAATTACCTGTGGGAAAATGATTTCTTCTATGTCATTTCTATCAAACAATTCTACATAATATGAGAAATATTTCAACAGCAGATGCCGAATGTGTAACTCTCGTACTTGAAAGATCTTTGTTAATTCAGGAATGACATATTTCTTGAAGGAAGATTTACTGAATATGGATGTTGGACTTGCTGGCTTTTCACTGATTACTTCTTTTTTTTCTAAAAGAGAGATAAAAAACAAAACAGAAAAGATTATGCAAATTAGTTGTTTTGAGTATTTTTTTATATCTATTCTAAATATATTTTATTTAAATATAACATATTTTGCAGTTTTTGTGGTTACTGGATATGAAATCTTTTTTTTTTTTAAATACATTATTTACCAATTAAATTTTTTTTTGTTGTGTAGTCAACAGTATAAAAATAGAATTGGTGAGTCAAGTACAAATTCTGGTTATTATAGATTTTCTTGTTCAATTTGCTTTTCTCATGCCAGTTATGGGTAAATAACAGAATAGACTTATCTTGCTTTGGTAAGCAACCAGTCTAGGACAATTTCTGAATTCAAAACCAAAAGTGGAATCTACTTCTCACTCCAGCCATTAGTTAAAAAAAAAATTAAGAGTAGGGGTTTGCAATTCCAACCCATGAAAATTGATATGTTAAAATATGATCAGCAAGCAAGCTGAAGGACTAATCAGATCCAGTAGTAATAAATTTATCAATGTCATACATTACAATGTGTGCATATATATATATATATACACACACACACAGTTCTACAACTAGTGTTTTTCACTTTCTTTATCTTGCACCATGAATCAACTGCATACAACATGAATACCTTCAAAATCTAAAGAATTTCAGTTAAAAAAAAAAAAAAAAAAGAAAAACCTATCTTAAATGATAACATTCTATATAACCCTTTTTCAGGCTATACGATCATGTAAAAATTTCAAACTTTTGGAATCTAAATCAAGTGGACAGAAAAGATTGGGTTTGTTTCTACTACATAATTTAATTCTATTTATTATTTATAGATGTACTTTAAATAACTGAACAAGAGTCAATATTCTGTTGATATGAATCAAGATCAAAATATTAAAATCAAATCTCTTGCACATTAAACAATATATTATTGACAAAAATCTTTTAAAGATATTTTCATTTTTGCAATCAACATTGTAGAGAAAGAAGAAAGATTAATATCTGAAGCAGTTCATATTTTTTCATTTTTTGCTTTAATATTCTTAAAAAATATTGCTAAAGTATATTCCCAATATATGGCATGCAAAATACCTATGAGTACTTCCAATTTAAGAAATTCTGATATGTTTTTAGTCAGTGTAATTTAAAGACTTCCTTTAAGCTCCTAATAACATTATTTACATTATTTGGACTATTGTCCTCATCTTTGTCACCATATTTATCACAACGTTTTGGCCTTCTTCAGGTGGTTGGAATGTCGAACTGAACCCTTTATTTCGCTCACCGGGGTAGACTGTTCTAGTTCCACGTGTGCCATGTTTGATGGATGTCAGTTATCTGTTAATTTCCCTCTGAAAGTTCTCCACTGCCTTAACTGGGTATTGAACTCACACTCCTGTCACTGGATCTAACCAATGCCTTTATCCACTGTGCCATGTGTCCTTGGTATGTCATTTGGGTATGAATTTCTGGGTATTATAAACCTAATGTCTTCAGCAACCATTTTTACCAGTGCTTATATTGCAATTTTGCTGTTATCATTGCATGTTTTTACCAGAGAACAGTCTACCCCAGTGAGCGAAATAAAGGGTTCAGTTTGACATTCCAACCACCTAAAGAAGGCTGGAGCGTACAACAGCCGAAATGTTGTGATGAATATGGCGACAAAGATGAGGACAATAGTCCAAATGTAAATAATGTACATAATACCTCATCTCAGAAATATAGACAGACTCCTAATAACAGTATAAAAATCCACCAACAATGATTTTTTTTTCAATGTTGGTACAATAAAATATTTCTTTGGTTTGATACAAGCCAAATCTTTTGAGTGGCTGAAGCAAGAGGATTGAAAATATAGGGCAATTAGTTTAATTTTGGATTTTTTTTCCAAAACTGGTTAGTTTAGTGTGTGAAATTTTAAGAAAATTTAAATCTTTCCAATAATTATAGAAAACAAGTAAACATAAGTAAATTATATTAAATATTATTACACACCTGGTCGTGGAATTAACAAACTTGGCAACATCATCTCCACAGCATCTTCATCCAAGACAACAAACCTTGATAACAACAAACTAATTAAGCGGCTTCCTATAAGGTCTTCAGGTAACAACAACAACATAGAAATTACACGACTGCAAGTATAATAAAAGAACAAAATTTGAAATAATGTCTAACAAAATAGGAGAGAAACATAAACCAAAATAATAATTTTATCATTATAAACAAAATATAACAGATTCATTTTCTTTTAAATGGTTTCAAATTATTCTAACTCATGTTTTGGATATTTTAATTTTGTAAAGTAATATTTTTAAAAAAAATGTATAAAATAGAAAATCAAGTGATCTTTTTTTTTTTTTTTTTTTTTTACTAGAGCCCAAAGTATTACTTCAACACTAATTTGATCATAGCTCTCCCAATGAAAATATCTACAACAGCAAAAAATCTCATTTTGATTGTAAATATCAAATAATTCTATAACACTTGTTCATGTGTCCTTTATTATATTTATTATTTCTTAAAACTATGAACAATATTGATTTCTTTATGTATTCAGAATATAAGGTAGATAAAAAATGTATTATGGTCAGTAGGCCCCACAAAAATATAAGAAAAATATTGTGTAAAAATGTATATTGAAATATGAAAATAACATTTTTCAGTAGAAAGAAAAAAGTATATATATTTAATTAGCAAAGAGCATAAGCAGTGAGGATTTTTAAAGTAATTTTGTTTAAGTCACAAAATACAGCAAAATAGTTCAATGTGTTCTCTGATCAACAATTGTGGTGGTAATAACATTAGACTCTCAACACTTGTTCCACAAATAAGTTTTTTTTTTTTTTTTTTACTTAGTCTTACTTTTTTACTAACATTTGATGGGCAAATTAATGAATTCTACTTGGTCATTACTTCTCAATGAAGTTTTAAGTCTCTCAATGACAAAGTTTTCTCATCTATCAGATGACTATTGACAATAGTTCAGATTAATTGTATAGAATTTGCTTCACTACAGAATTTACCTGAGATTCCACTTCAACCTAAAACTTAGAGAAAACCGAAAAAAAAAAAATGATAAAAATAAATGAGGATACCACATACCTAAAAAAATCTTGTTTTTCTTGAGCAGATTTTACAGTGATATTTCTCAGAAACTGTCTTATTTCAAGAAAGTGATTCCTGAAAAAAAAAAAAAAAAATAATTTAAGAATAAACATGTTGATTAGAATCAAAAGAATTCACCTTAGATTCCAAAAAAGAATAAGAACAATAAAAAATTAAAAAATACTCCCGACATTTGATACGATTTTTTTCTAATCATCTCGGGATAGAATCTAATAAAACATCTAAAATCTTAATGCATAATAAAGAGATGTATATTGGTTTTTAATATTTAAATTAGACAATAAAATCCATATATATAAAAATGTGATATGTATCAATATACATATTCTTTTTATGTATAACACTTTCCATAGAGTATATACAGATAATACACTCTGGTCCTAGGCAGAATTACTGATTCATATGTAAATGAACTCATTATTTTTTTTGTTTACAGATGCTATATTAGGTTAATAAAAAAAAATGTGTTGTACATGAATATCTATATGGGTCATGTAGCAGCAAGAACAATGCTGTTTTTGGCTATTTCCAGGCCTGTGGACAAAAAATTTGATTAGACTGTAAAGTCATTTAAAATAAAGATTGGTATCAAAATCATTTAAAAATGCTTTAATTCAAAAGCGAATACATAATTATGAATTTGATAACTCACTCATATTTAAACAGACGATTGTTGAGTAGTGAACAGAGTTTTGATCTTTGCTTTGGGTCAGGGTTCAAATATTCATCTTGAATGTGTAGTTCAAATGTTTTGGAGAGATCACCTACCAAAAGAAATACTTCAAATTATCATCAACAAAAAAACATCAATTACCAGAATTTTTCAAAGTATTGGAAAAAAAGTCCTACCAATTGATTTTGTTTGTTTGATTAAATAAAGCATTTTCATGCATATAACTTAGTGTGCTGATCTTTCCTTTCAGGAATATTTAATATCGAGAAGAATAATTTTTGAATTGATGGAGACCATAAAGATCAGCTTAAGTGTGACCTCTTTTGAGACTGCTTGCTTTGAGTTCAAAAGGGCGTTCATCAGTTTAAAAAGCAACAAAAGATATTTGCACAGTCTATAGAAATACAGACTTAAGTGTAAGAAGATGCCAGAAATGGTTTAAGCATTTTTTTTTTTAATCAGGGAATCTTACCTTCAAAGATTCATATTCTAGATGATTGACTTTAATTGTAATTTGCAAGTTAACAAAATCCTAAACTAACAGAATGGGCAATACTACAACAGTTCAGTAGAATTAATAGAACAACCATAACCCTATGTCCATGAACCTGGTAATGGGTTAAAATTTGGTCAGTGGGTTCCACATGATCTGATCAGTTCACAATCAGAATCAACTTCATTTTGACAGTAAAGACAAAGTATGCTAGCAAACCATTTCTGGAAAGGTTCATCACCAGTGATAATGAAAGGTTAGTCTTTCATAATCAAATTCAGTGAAAGAGACAATATAGCTATGAGCCAAGGAAAAGCCTATACCTGCACTAAAATCAGGATTATATCTTCAGAAGGTAATGCTCTGTATTTGGTGGGATATCAAAGGTGTTGTCTACTATAAAGTGTTAAATGATAATGAAATAATCAATTTTGACATATTACCATCAACTGAAAGTACAACATCAATCTTTGTTGAAAAATTTAGCTTCATGTATCAATTGGGAAGGGAGGTAACTCTTGCATGGCAATACAAGACCACACATTACAAAACATGAAAGAAAAGAATGGCTTGTTTTAGATCGAAATATTGAGATCTTAACTGTTTCTTTTTACCTTACTGACCTTGTTCCATCAGATTATCATTTTACATTTTCTTGTATGACATTGCTCAAGGTCAGTTTTACAAAATTGTTGATCCTAATAGAATTAACCTTATAAAACTCGAAAAGGGCAAAACTGGGTGTGTGTGCCTTCATAAATATCCAAACAAATTTTGTTAAATTCAACTGAAAAAGTCTCTTTAATTTTTTATTGTATTTTACTAATTTTTGAACAAGATGTATATCAGAATCAAAATTGTGGATAAACTGTCTGAAGTTCATGTTTTGTTCAAATACTAATACACATACTAAATAACAGCACATAAATATTTGATAATGATATACATCACTTTGGATGAATTTCAATTCTAGCACTCTAAAAAATAATAATAATAATAATAAAAAAGGCCAGGATGCAATCAATAAAATTTTTCTACACACACTGACAACACACAGTTCTTGATAATGACTGAGAGGGTCATAAATACGAGAACAAAACATGAACTTCAGATACTTTATTCACAATTTTGATCCAGATAAACATCTCTCTCTCTCTATATATATATATATATATATATATATATATATATATATATATATATATATATATATATAATAATAATAAAATGAAACAAGCAGATTTTGTCAGGTGGATTTTGACAAAACTTGTTTCCTAAAACAATAAAATAACATTTTCTAATCAATTAGAATTAAGTTTGCAATAAGAAAAGCTAAATTTTGGCAAAATCCTGAATTGAAGCATGAAACATGGGGTTTCAATAAACCTAAAACTTGGCCTGTATAACACATTATAATTTGTCTTGCCTCTAAGCTATTTCTTAAGTAGAACAGATGGCTCAGAATGCAGTTTTATTAGAAATGAATCCAAAGTCAGTTGGCAAAATCAAAAACAATTGACTTGTTGGATTGTATCCAGATTGCCTTTGGACAAAATCAATTGTCCCAAATCTTTTTGGAAGAAAAAAAAAAAAAAAAAAACACGAAAAAACAAATTTGGCATTTAAAAATGGAGATGAAGAGAAATTTAATATGCTTTGTTACAAATAAAAACTGATTGTTAATCACATAGTTGTAAAAAATTTACAAACATTTTGTTTTTGTTCAAATTAATAAAGGATAAAATAAACAAAATACAAGATGATTAAGATTATTCTAAAAATATTGGATTGGATGTTCTCACTATGCAATAGTGTTAATAGACTAAATAGCATTTTTGTATTTATCATAGAGAATTTTAATGAATCTAAAACATAGAAAACTATTACTAACCCTATATGATTAATGTTCTCGAAATGTTTAATGTATATAATATAAACAATTCAAATTTTAGGTCATAATTCAAAGTACCCAGATATTACATGGTTTTCAATAATAAAATTTTGTAAAATATGTTTTTATGCTAAAAATGCACTTTTGATTTCTGCTACTGCTTGTGTTTTCCCTTCTATTTACAAAAATAAATCAACTGATTTGTGGCTGTTGTCTATAAAATACTCTATATAATTTACTATGCCAGACCAAGATAAACTTAGTGAATATCTATGACACATAATTTGATATGAAGAAAACCTAATGAGAAAACCTTAGATAGTATTACAGGAAGAAATCAGTCAATCAAGAGAAGCAAAGATCTAAGTCAATCCAATTCATAATGTGTTAAAATTTAATTATTCATTAACTGGAGTATGTGTATTTATCTGTGCCCATGCACACTTTCATTTCTTTTGCAAAAGCAATTAACCATTCATGACAAAATAGAAGTTATTCCCTATATTATAATCATCTGGCTTTCTGCCAGGGTTGGCTGAGTGTATCAATACAGTTCATGGCTCCACTCACTTTGGGCTTATCATTAAAAGTTGATTAAAAAAAAAAATCAATAATTTAAATAGATGAACTGTTCTTAAAGTTCAATGAAAACATTTTAATACCAATGATAAACAAAATAGGAAAAAGATGAGAGCTTCTTGACAAGTTAATATTATATCTGAATTTATTTAAAAAAAAATAAGGTAAATTGTAAAGACAAAAATTAAGATGGTTAAAACCAACAAATAATTTTTCAATGAAATTTACATGTAACTATATTATATTTTATCTAATAGGTCATCATATATGAGAGGTTCTTACAGAAATTACAATTTATACTATTTGAAATAGTGTATTGTCTTGCAAAATATGCTTTTATCAGACTTTGTAGAATTATAAAATTCATAAATAAATGCATGCTTGCTTGCTCTCTCTCCATTCCTCCTCTACTTTACTTAAAGAAAATAAAACCACCATCTGGAACAGCTATAGCTAAAATCATTAAAAACTAACAACACTTCATTTCAGAAATTCAAATTTTTTTCTTTTACACTTTCTACCTAATTTGAATAAGTATTAATAAAAGAAAAAAATGTTAAAGAAAGGAAAAAAGATACACACCTAATTCTTGTAATTGTTCCAAAAATTCTTCAGCAAGTATTCCAAAAGCATAAGCATCAAAAACGTGTTCAAAATTTGCCTCAATGCAGAGATTTCCTGCCTGGAAAAAAATAAAGGAAAATATGGCATTAAACAAATCAAATTCATAGAAATGTTATTCAATAGAAATATAAGGTCATTGGTTCCAATCTCAAAATGTGTGATTCATTTGTGTATGCTGCTGATGCCAATATAAGTTAAGCCTTTTGTAATTATTTATTACAAAAGGTTTTAATAACTAAGACAACTATAAATATCTTTTGTAAATTGTGATATTTTCAGACATGAATGTGACAAGAGGAAACAATGTTTTGAGAACTAACATTGGAAATATCATCAAGAGCCTTGAAAGATTCCATCAGTCAAAGCTGTAATCAATCTTAGGCATCAAGTAGGAAGACAGAGTCACAAACAATCAAGTCCTTGAATATACTGATCAAAAGAATCTTGAAGTTACCATCAATACATCTTCTGCTAGGAAAGTTAGTTCATTGTGTCATGCTAGACAATTTTTCTCATCAGAATATACCTTACATATAAATCTACCATTCATTCATGCATTGAATATTGCTGCCACATTTGGTCTGATGCTTCTGCTCTGTATTTAGAGATGCCTGATAAAATCTAAAGAAGAATTTGCCATGTTATCAGTCCTAACATGACATCTCAACTGCAGTCAGCTTTTTGTGCCTTTTCTATAAATATTTTCATGTTAATTGTTCTGATGAGCTTTCCTCTTTGGTACCTCTTTGAGGAGAGTTCTTTTTCCGACGGTGTACGACCAGTGCCTGGCGCCAGACGCATTTGCGATTGATTAAGAACTGTTTTTTGTTTTCAACCTTTGTTCACGTTAAGTTCTTTTTATTTTAAATTTACGTTCCGTTTATTGATTTTTTTTGCCAAAAGTTTGATTTGATTTTTCTTTCACTTTATTCCTTGTTGTTTCTTTATTATTAATTTTCATTTTCTTTAATACATATTTTTGAGTTTTAATTTTTTCCTTTTAATTTTTAGTAATTTCCCCACGCAAAACTTTATTTTTTCATTGTTTATTTTGCTCCTCGTAAGACTTCGTTTTTCTTTGTTTACATTTTTATTTCTACGTGTTTTCATTGTTTCTTTGTTGTTCTCGTTGTAAATAACTTATTTATTCTGTGTTCCTTTATTTAAGTCTTTTCTGTGTTTATTGTAATTTTTTGCATTTATTTTCTGCATTTATTTTTCTATTCAATAGTTCTTCTTTATTTTAGTTTACGTGTTTTTGTTCGTGTTCGTGGGCTGACTAGAATTTTCTCGTGGCAGCCATATTGTATTTGTGAACTCGTTTCGTATTTTTTGTTGTATTATTGTAAAAAAAAAAAGATACCTTTTGTTTATTTTCCGTCTTAAATTGTGATTTTCTTTTTCGTACTCGCATTTTTGTAATTTGTAATTGTTAACTGGTTTTATTTTTTAACGTATTTTGTCGTTTTAACGTACGTATTTTTGTAACTTATTTTTGCGTGTTTAACTGTTTATTGTTCTGTCTCGTTAAATTTCTTTTTGTTATTGTGATTTATTCTTATTCATCTTTCTTTTAAATTATACTTTTATTTGTTGTTTTATGTGAAGGAAAAAAAAAAAAAGGTCTCGTTTTTAAAAAAGAGAACTGTAAGAAAGAACCTGTTTGGTTCTAAAAAAAAAAAAAAAGACCCTCCTGATAAAGAGTTAGATTTGCAAGAAAGTGCTAATGTTGAAGAAAAAAGTATGGTGTCCCCTAATGATGATAATTTAGAGGAGAAAAACAAGACTCCAGAAAAAAGTATGGTGGCCTCAAACGGCCAAAATACTGGCATTGATCCAAGTGTTCCAGATCAGAATATGGTGGCTGAAAGCTGCCAAGATGCTGAAAATAAAACTAGCCCATGTTACAAGAGTATGGTGGCCGAAAGCAGCCAAAAATCAACCAATCAGACATCCCAAAATAACGACGGAAACATAGCGGCCGGAGTGACGCCCTCATGCTGGAAGTCCCCGCCGAAATGCAAAATCAACATTACAGAGTTCCTGGAGAGAGCCAAGAGCTACGCACATCTGGTGACAGCAGATGGGCTCTTGCCTAATCCCGAGGAATTAAAAAACGTTGAAAAAAGAATTGTGTCTGTCTTTGGGATCGACAAGCGTTTGCACAAGATTTGTCGATCCACAAAAGACACCGTGATTAAAGCTTTAAATTCTCTGGGCATTAAAGCTCAGAGGGTTGTGAAAGGAAAAGTCTATTTTTTGTGGGACGTACTGTTACCCACGCCTGCCGACTGTGAAGCTGCTGCGACTCGTGATCTCATCACCAAAGACCTGATTCTGAGGACCGAGTATGAAGGCAGGCGGAGGAGCAAGTATCAGTATATGAGGTTCCTCCTCAGATTGTCGGGGAGCACTTGGCCGCTTATCTGTGCCAGTTTGGACAGATTCTCAGTGCTTCCTCAAATGATCTGACCGTGGGGGTGGAGCTTCGAGATTATGATCAATCAGGATGCCTTCCGCTCCATCCTCAACTGTCTGGATGTAAAGAGCCAGAAAATGCCGATAATTGTGACGGGTCGGAAACCGGCATGCTGGAAGTGTGGAAAGACTGGTCACCTTTCCTCTTCCTGCACAGAGATGAAGGCCTCTGAAGTTCTGTCCCCCGCCCAACCAAATCTCCCTTTGGTCGAGTCTCACCTGTAGTGGGCATGCCAGCGACCAGGACCGGTGTGGAAAATCCCCCGGTCGGGTCCAATTCTCAGCCCCCATTCACCGAAAAGCCTTTGCCCGCCACTAATGCGGTTAGGGAGAAGGGGAATGGCAGGTTGTTGGTAGGTCTAAAGGGAAGATCCAGGCAGCGGAACCTCGTTCCACACCTAAAACAGGAAAAGGCACGAACAGCCCCACTCCCTCAACCAGCGCAAAGGGCGATTCTCCGGCCCGCTACTCGAATATGCTAAGAAGTAAAATGATCCAATCTGAACCTTCCTTTGAAAAGAAGGAGAAATTACAACAACTGAAGGAGGATTTTAAAAACAAAAGACAGGATTCCGAGAAGAAATCTGGCTCCTCTTTGTCAGCACCATCTTCCCCTGTCACTAAACATCATACCATGGTCCCGACCCCTATCACTAAACCTATAAAAAAAGTTTCATCAACAATGACCACTTTAAAGAAGGGACCTGCCCCAAAATCACTTGCCAAATCTTCAACCAATCCTTCCCCTATGCAGACACCCAAAAATACTCCTACAAAACCAGAGCAACAAAAAAGACAGAGAAGTCCATCCTCAGATTCATCTGAAACCACAGAGAAAAAAATCAAATCAAAGCCTATATACAATACAGGGGAGGACGTGTGCCGAGTCTCTAAAGAAATAGAAGAGAAGGTATTATTACATGCTAAAAAATTAAAATACCTAAAAACTCTCTTAAATTTCAGAAAATTGAAAAATTTAGATGTAGAGAACCCCCAAAACTTTCCCAATGCAAAAAGGGTTCTCACTGTGGTGAGATCAGGTGCAGCCAGTCAACAAATATGGGCCATGATGGCCGACGCCAATGAAACATTCAGCATGTTTCCACCGATGTCGTGTTTTGACGATGAGAACGTAAAAAAATTAAAACAATTTTGTTCAGGGAGGTTCCTGATTTTTGTTCACCCCTCCCTGTATAGAGCGTTAAAGCTAACATTCCCCTTGGACATTGGCGGCCTGTCTCCTGATGGCACCATCAAGAGTGAGATGGGTACTGGCTCAATGGGAGAGGCCGTCGGTGTCCTGACCCCGGCCATGTTCAATGCAGGAGAGCAACCCTAATCGGTTTCATCATGGCTCTCTGGTTAGCAAGCGTAAATGCCCGAGGCCTGAGGTTGGAGTCTCGCAGGGCGAGGCTCTCTAGCGATCTTCAGTGTCTCGGGGTGAATATCTGTTGTATGCAAGAGACCCGTTTTTCTTCTCGTGACTATGAGAATATTCTGTCTAAGGGGTTTTCCCTCTATTCAGCATGTTCTGATGGACGCTCGAGGGGTGTCTCTTGGCTGGTGAGCAAGTCATTGAAGGCTGCGTGTGTTCTTGTCTTCACGGATCCGGCAGGCAGACTTTGCGTGCTGGATGTTACCATAAAGGATAAGGCTCTTACGTCTCATTGGGGTTTATCGCCAATGTCCATTCTGAGCGGCCTGCTTTGTTTGCAGATCGAGCCGTTTTTGACGACATCCGCCGGGTAGTTTTAGTGGGTGATTGGAATGCCGTCCTTGATCCCGATATAGATCGCATAGGGACAAATTCAGGTACTAACAACCAGGATGTGAAACCATTTCGGGACTTTATTGACAGGTTTGATCTTGTCGATAAGTACTGGAATGAACACCCTCAGGAGGTAGTGTGGACTTGGACTAATAGTGGCAGCTCGGCCAGTTATCTAGACCGAGTCTTAGTTAGGAGAGTCGATGTAGGGCCCTTAGGGATCATAGGCTTGTCCGGGTCCGTGTAAACTTAGATAAGCCTAAGGTTAGGATGGCTGGCTACTGGAAATTAAACTCATCATTATTTGGTGAGCAAAATTTCCGGGACTAGCTTTTACTAATGATACAGAGGGAACTGACGGGAGCGGTTGTGGGAAATGCCTGGTGGGATAAATTAAAATCCAAAATCAGAACGTTTGCTGCTGAATATAGTCGTCGGCTCAATCTAGATAGATTAGCGGCGCAAACGGCTTTAGAGCAGAAAGTGGATCGGGCGGTCAAATCCCGTGATAGTGGGGAAATAGCCTTAGCTAAGGCAGAGTTGGCCTCCTTGCTTATCAAGAAGGATCAAGCTCTGGTAGTTAGGACTAGGTTAAAAGAATGTCCTCTGAGGCGCACGAATATGGCCGCTGAATTGCATGCAGAGGAAGCTCGAATGCATCTCGGCGACATATCGCATATACCAAGCCGGATAAGCGGCTCGTGACAACAAACGAGGGCATATGTGAGGCTTTTTCGACTACTTTCAGGAGCTTTTCACCAGGGAGCCCTGCTCAGTTTGACGCCTATTTGGCTGACTTTCCTGCCTCGAGGCAGCTGAAGCAGCTAGGTGCGAGGGTCCCATTACAGAGTCGGAAATCTGGGAAGCGTTGAAACAGGTTGGCCTGGACAAATCTCCGGGACTTGATGGTCTTCCGTGGGTGTACTTGAGGCAGTCGCCAGTTTTTGTTCCGCTGCTGGCACTGATTTTTTCGGCAACTGGATGAAGCAGGGGTCTATACCCCAACGCTTCACCAGGGGCGTGATCAAGTTGTTATGCAAGGACAAAAACGGTGGGGATGGGTTAGGTAACTTTTCACCTTTTTAACTATGTTAAACACAGAGTTAAAGATTTTGGCTAAGATCTTGGCTAACCGCTTGCAGATTGTCCTGTCTTGTCTGATTGGCTCGGAACAGACTTGTGCTGTGAAGGGCAGGCTATTCAGGACAACCTTCATATGGTGCGCCTGATCATCGAGCAAGTCGACAGTGAAGCCACGCTGATCAATTTAGATCAGTCCAAGGCCTTCGATAGGGTTGACCATCGCTTGGAGGTTGTTCTTTTCGGCGGCGGTTTGAACCCAGACCCGCACATGGATCTGACTTCTTGTCGACTCGGTGCGCTGGTGGAGGTGAATGGGTAATATCGGAGCCTTCGTATTGTCTCGCTCCATTTGTCAGGGTTGTCCGCTATCGCCTTTGCTTTACGTTTTTTGCGTTGGAACCTTTCCCTTCGCAAGTTAAAGGCGAATCCGGTCCCCACATGGAATTGCCTGCCGGTGCTACCACATCGCCAGGTATTCTGCCTATGCTGGCGACGTTTGGCTCTTGTGTCGAGAGCAGAGACGCAGATTGACGAAAGTCAGCAAAGAAATCAGTTGTTATGAGATGGTGACAGGGGCCAAGATCAACCGCGATAAGTCTGTTGGCTTGCGGTTGGGTGCATGGAAGGGAGTTTCTCTTCCCGGACCTTTCCGCTGGACGGATGGGCCGGTCAAGATTCTCGGCGTCTTGTTCAGTCCTGATCTCCAGTTGGAAATGGATTGGTCAGAGGTGCAAGGGAAGGCCGAGATCGCAATTAATTTGTGGTCTCGGAGGAATCTTTCCTTAAAGGGGAGGGCGGAAGATTATGTTTCACACATCTACCTGATTATCCTTTACCGACTCTCTGTGCTTCCACTTCCGTGTGACACTTTACTGGCGTTAGTGAAGCTCTTGTTCTCCTTCTTGTGGGGAGTCAGTCGGGAGATCTGTTGCCTTCATCCATCTGAAGGTGGTCTGGGCATGCCAAGCATTGAGATTCGTCAATATATGCTTCGCATTAGCTTTCTAGATCGAATGTGTTGTGATTCGGATGAGGAGGGCGCCTTCTGGAAGGAAGATGCCCGTAAGAACTTCCCATCCCTGAGAAAGTGTGCATTTGTGCGAGGAGGAGGCCCGTTTGCCCCCCGAGCGAATGCTCCTTCTATCGTGAATGTCGTATTGCTCTGAAGCACCTCTTACGGGTGTCGGATGGCCTCTCCAACGTCCAGGCGTTGTCTCATAGGGCATTATATCAAGTTTTATTCAGGGGGGCCATGCATGATGATCTGATTGACAAGCTCGGTCTGACGAGGCAGAAGGCTCACTCAATATGGCCTTGGGCGCCCGGGTTGAAATGCCTCAATAATGATGAGGCATCACTCACCTGGCTGGTGATTCGTAGGGCCCTCTGGGTCGCCAGGAGACTCTGCTCAGCTGGCTTGGAGAATTCTCCAAACTGCCGACGTTGTAGTGGGGAGGTCGAGACCTTGGGTCACGTCTTCTTTCATTGCAGCCAGGTAGTGCCGTTGTGCAAGTTTGTTGAAGGCCTCATGGTCCGCATGCTGCAGGGAAAGTCCTTTGTCCTTCAGTCCATTTCCGTTTGTAGCAATGCGTCACCGCTAAGCTGATTTGGTTGCTGAACAGTATGTGTTCCACTGCTTGCTAGGGTGTTATGAGAGTCGTGATTTGGACGACACGTCAGAAGGATTCTATGGAGGTGAGAAGTTCACCTTTCCCAATTGATCTTGTACTTTAAGCATCAGCTTAAAGTCAAGATTAGGACGGAAAGGCGGCGCTCACTTCATCAGAATTCAGCAAAAGGTGGGTGAATCTTGCGGCGCTTGTGTCGTGCGAAAGGGGCTGACCTTGAGTGGCACATTGATGCCGTTAGGCATCAGGATATTGCTCTTCCTGGGTTGAACTTGTGCAATCCATCCTGAAACTAGGCTAGCTTAGGTTTTCCTTTTTGATGCTTTAGTTTCCTTTTTCAGTTAACTTAGCTAGGGTATGTATGCTCATTGGCCCCTTTTATTTCTGTCCCTATTTTTTCTTTTAAGTTTAATTCCCCATCCCTCCCTCGTTAGGTAGTCAGTGATGTCAGTTCACTGGTGGATGCGGGGTGCCTTTCGTTTTCAAGTGAGTGCTTTTTTTGTTGTTGTTGTTGTGTCTGAATGAGTGCGTGGCAGTGTGAGTGATTGGGATGAATGAATGTTTTATACTATTATAGTCCCGCATTGATTTCGCCCAGTGAAGTGATGTTTCTGTCACATTTAGTAATTGTGGGGGGTTTTTTTTACTAATCTTATTTTTCTTTAGTTTCTTGTAAATAGTTTTTTTGTATGCATATTGTAAATACTCATTGGGGTTAACTTTTAGAATTGTTGTTTTATTCCTTCCCCCACAGACAACGAATTGTAAATATGGGGACTAGTTAGTATTTTCATAGAGACAAAGAGGTATTATGGTGGTTGTAGTAAGAAAAATGCGAATGAATGTGTTGTTTTGGTGTAAGGAATATTGTTTCAATGCGATTGGGTCAGTGCTTGCAGCTAGCTAAGTTATAGTTAAGACAGAAGAAGACCGTCCTTTCCCCAATCCCCTTTTTCGGCCTTGTGCCACATTTCTGTATTGTACAGAATAAATATCGCTTTCCTCTTTGGTACTTCCACTTTCTGAATTTATGCATTGTACTAGGTCTCATCATTTTACAGTTGAAATAGCTAAGATATTAACTATAAGTTCTATACTAAGTTTCTTTTCTTACTTGTGGAACACTCTTCTGGTTCCATGCTTTCCAGTTAACTTTGATCTTCAAAAATTTAAATGCAATGTCAATCATCATCTTCTGTCGTCTCTCTCCTTAATTATTTTAATCATATTTTTTCATGCCAAGTAACACTGTGTCTTAGTAGATTTATTGTCTTGCTTAGGGTGAAATGATTATAAAAAAAAAAAAAAAGGGAAGAAAGTATACATATCTAATACATATCTGATTCACTGAGTGAGTGATCTCATCAATTCTGCCATTAAATGCTGGATTTATCTCATTTAACATTTTTTTCTTCACGTTAATATTTTATGACTGTTGGAAACAAATACAAAAACTAAAATGGTCAATTTCAATTGTAGGAGTAAGAGAATTTCAAAACTACCAACAAAAACCGTTTCTCGTTTTGTTTCTATAGGATGTAGTATGGCATAAGTCAACATACTCCTGGCTTATGTTTCCCCATTTATATTTTTCTACTTACTTATGTAGAAGAACATTTCATTTTTATACTTCAAATTTATTTATATTGATATTAATTTTCTTTGTTAAAGCTACAGTTAATTGTAATATAACAGTAAAACAACCATTCCAGATTCTTACTGATTTAATGCTTAAGATTTAACATAAACAGATTGACAATAGATGAGAAAGTTCTTAGCTCAACCAAGAAGTCCTTAAACAAAAAAAAATCTCGCGTTTGGTCATTTGGTTAAATTTTGGGAAGTGAGTGAGGCTAAGAACCTTTCAAGCACCCTCTTGTAAAGTTAAATATAAAACTGTCTTCTAAATACAAATGAATAATGAATTAAAAACAAGTGGAAATTCAAAACTGACTCACCTTTTCTTCTGGACTGATTGTCTTTTCACACCTCAATGCTCTGCAGTTGTCCAAGAATTTAGCAGTTAAGTTTTCAAAGTGGCAAGCATGTTCAAAGCTACCAAGCTTCCAGCTGCCATCATTGGTAACAAAAATGGAAGATTTGCAGATATTGTTATGTGAGATTCTGACCTATGAAGATGATAGAGAAACTGATTAAGTATATATAAAATAAAGCAATATCTATTTTTAAAAAATGAGAAAAGAAAAGATCCAAGTTTATAAAAAGGCCCAGAAACACCAGATGTGCTTGAAATAACTTAAAAAGTAAAAATAATAATATTTAGAAAAACATCAAAAGAATATTAACCAAATCAATACATTAAGACTGTCTAAAATTAGTCAAAAATACTTCCTGTGATTTTAATTTTTTACATGCTTTTAAAGTTTTTGACAGTATTCAATCTTTGAAAAAATGTATATAACAAAGACAAAATAGTTACTTGTACTTAAAAAAAAAAAAAAAAAAAAGAAAAAAAAAAAAGTTTCTTTGCATGGCATATAATAAAAAAACACACATGCACACACTTTAATAAAGCACAAATATGAAGACACTAGTAAACACAAGATAAATTTTGTAACTTTATTCTAGATTTTTAATCCTGGCCACCACTCTGATTAAAATTAAACATATTTGTTTTTGTATGAACAATGCATATTAAAAGAAAAATCCTTTTTATATTTTTCCTCACTTACTTTCTCATGTAAGAAGACCAAAGATTCAATGATGCCATGAAGACCTGAACAAATTTCAATTGGTGACAACTGCTTTACAGTATATTCAAGAGGTGTGACATATTCAGTGATAAGATAGGAGCCATCAGATGAGTGACCAGATGTCACATATTGGAGGATTCCGGGGTGGCGTACTGACTTCAGTTGCTGTAATAAACAATTAAATGCACAGTAAAATATTTTCCTTGTTTTATTAGGTTGGTGCAAAAATAATTGCAGTTTTTGTTATTTTAAACTTTGATGTGTATTTTGGTTGCTTTTGATTCATTAATATAATGAAAAATTAAATATTTTAATGGCTAATATGGTACAACTTTTAGAAAAAAAAAATTATATAGGGATGGCTGTACTATATACGATATAATTTATTCCGTTTTTATATTTAAACTTCTAATTGTATAAAAAAAAAGGATTTAAGATGCCGAGGTCAGAGTGGACAGAGATGTTTTTTCATTGCTCAAAGAAAGCGATATATTTTTAAAAAAAGGGAAGTCTTGATTATTTTAAAATTAAAGTACATTTAATACATTGTAGTTGTTAAATTACTTATACATTGGACCAAATAATTCTACTCCATAAGCATAAAAACTCTGACTTTAATGGCAACTGAGGACTGCCATTCCTGCATTGAGCATTGTGCATTGTCCTCATGAAGGGATTATCCACCAAACCACACTGTTTGCCCGTAGCTGGGAGCCAGGGACAACAGCAATTAAGAAGTGGTTCCATGCTCCTGAAAACCTCTAATCTTCTGATCAGAGGTGTTGCAACCAGATGTATTTTATCATCATACCCAGTGATTAAAAACAACTAATTGAGGACCAAAACAACTTGAGGAGTTGAAAAAGATAAATGTAGAGCATTTAACAGTCATTTGACATTTGCACCAAATTGACAAAATGGTCAATTTACTTGGAAAGAAACAATGCCGTTATTAATAAGAAGAGTTGAAATTAATGTATGCAAAATTTCACTGCTCCAGCATCACTCCTTCATAGTTAGCCTATAAACTTTTCAGCCCATCCTTGTATTACAGAAAGACATGCCTGTTTTTATTATTTACGTAAACAATGCAATACAAAATCTTTTTTAAACCGTTCTGTATTCAGCATGTTATTGTTGTTCTTTATGCTGCATCCCCTCAGAACATAGGCAATAAGGGCTTTCTACAACCTCTTGTCTCTTGTAGTACTTAATAAACAGCCTTTTTGTTATTTCTCCTAAGCCCTGTTCTGCCATCAGTTCATTAAGTATGTTATATGTTTTCCTCAGTCTCTCTTGTCATTTATCTGTCCTGTGAGTATCAGATTTTCCAAGCCATCCTTCCTAATTATATACCCCAGAAACCTCAACAGTCTTCTCCTGATGTTAAGTATTAGTTCCCTTTTTGTTTCTCACATATTCAGTCCACAGTATCCACAGCATCCTTTTGTAGAATCACTTTTCTGTGTCTCCTCCTTATCTTTGAGGAGATTGTCCATGAAGTCAGATATCATGTAGCAGTTTACTACTCTTTTTTTTTTTTGTTTCTAGTGAAATTTTCCTATTTCTTAGTATTCTGCTTAGCTTTTGGAGTGCTTCCTTGGCTATTCCAATATGCCTTTGGATTTCAATGTCACACTTTCCATCCTCTGTTTAAATACATTCCTGATATTTAAAATTTCTGCACTTGTTTGATTTTGGTATCTCCAATTTGCAATTCGCACTATTGACTCATCATTTTGTTGACAACCATGCATTCTGTCTTCCTGCTGTTGATGTTTAATCCTTTTCTTTTTGCTTTTCTTAACTACCTTCTGTAGGAATTTTTGTAGCTTTCTTTCTGTATCTGCTATCAACACTGTCATCTGCACATCTTATAGCAAGGTTGTTGACCAGTTCTGACATATCTTTATTGAACACTTTTGAAAATCTATAAAACACAGGTACACATCCTTCTGCATCTATATCGCTCTTTTTGATAACATGCAAGCATAAATATCACATTCCTTGTTTCAGTGTTTTTAACAAACATGCACTGTTCTTGTCCTATTCCAGGACTGATTCTGCTGTGCACTCTATTCATCAGAATTTGGATGATCAGTTTCAATATATGGCTCATTAAGCTGATTGTCTGATGGATTTCACATTCGTTTGCACCTGGCTTCTTACGCAGTGCTATGAAAATAGATCTACTGTTATAGATTTAATTTATTATTTCTGTAATCTTGTCTATGCCAAAATCGCCTAAGGCCTCCAGCATCTCTATTACAATTCTGTCTAGCCCTGCCATTTTGTTTCTGTTTGATTTGGCCAGTGCAGATTCCACTGCAGATTTTAATATTTCCAGCCTGTCAATATTTCTCTGTATCGCTGGTTGTTCTCATTCAGTATGGAAGAGTTCTCGGATATATTTGTTCCATCTCTGGAGTACTTTTACTTTCTCTAACATCAGCATTCTGTCCTTAGACTTTATATATCCTGTTGATGAGCATGTCATTTGTCCTGTTAGTTCTCTTATTTTTTTTATGCATGCCTGCTTTATTTGTGATACACATTCTTTCTATTTCTGTATATTTTTATTGAGCCATTCCTCTTTAGTCTGCCTGTATTTGTTCTTTATTTCTTTGTGTAGTGTCCTACACTCTGTTCCATGTCTTGACACTGTTTTCATCTATTTTTCATAATGTTGAGAATTTTGTCTGTCATCCATTCACTTTTTTTCATCTAACTTTCTTTGGGATGGTCCCAATTGCTGATGTTACTAAAGCTTCTCTTAAAGTGTCCCACTTTGAGCTTCCATTTTACTTTTGTCTCTCATATCTGCTTTTCACACTGCCCATATATTTTCCTTCAGATTTGGGTTGTTCAAGAGTCTATCATTGCAACTTGGGTGTTGCCTTAGTCCTTTTCAATTTCCATAGTTTCACTCTAAGCTTACATATCACTGGGAGGTGATCGCTTGGATATGTTTTGCAGTATAAAACTGCATTCTCAAATTTCTTTTTGATAGTTATGTAGCCGATCTGATTTTTTTGGTTCTCCTCCTGGGTTTCTCCATATCCATTTTGGGTGTTCTTGAAAACAGGTGTCAGCTATTACCTGGTCATTCACCGTACATCATTGGACCCATTTTCCTCCATGATCATTACAGGTTCCTAGTCTTAATTTGCCAACTATTCTATTTCACCATCTCTCTGATTGCCTTCTGTGGCATTCAAGTCTGCTATGACAATTATAACTTATTATAATTTGCAAAAGGCCTTAGTGTCATCCAGCATAGAGTAGAACTTTTCAATTTCTTTTTCCATACTTTGTGCTGTCAGTCTGTACACAACTATGATGGATATGTTGAAAGGCTTCCCTTTCAGTTTAACCATAACTGACAGTATCTCAGAATGCATTTTCTCATGTCTTGGTCTAGTATCAATCCTACTCTTTCATTTTTTTCCTCTGTTTTTCTCTTTGCCTGCATAGTGCAATGGAAAACCTTTAATAAAACTGATCCTTAATGTTAAAACCTAAAGAAAATTCATAAAAAAATGAAAGAAAAAAAGAACAAGAGATAAAAGCAGATTCTGACAGTAATCATTTCAAGATCGATTTGTTTCTAAAATAAAAGTTGATTTAGACCTATGCCTGCCACAATACATTCACAATAAAGCCAAAACTCTAGATGAGAAGAGCCTGACAGCTGATCTTTCCTCTGTCCTAGCTTTAACAGTTGAGTGGGAGAAAAACTGGCTGGTCACATTCAGAACCTCAAAAACCAAACTAATGATATTCCATCATCACTAAGCAGACCTGCATTTTCACCAATGGCAATGAATGGGTGTTATCTCGGGGAAGCTCCTGTGCCTTAAGCACTTACTGGGATTTAATCTCAATCCAAACCTCAAGTGAAACTTATACATATGATCTATCACTAAAGATATTCAAAAAATGGTCAGTTCTATGTTCTGCTCCAATAAGTGCCTGACTCTTCCTGCTATCCTCTACAAGAGCCAGATCAGACTGAAAATGGAGTACTGCTGTCATATATGGGTAGGAGCTTCCCAGTTTTCACTTTCTAGTTTTGACAGAGTCCAAAAGTATCTCCACTTCCTTGTGAATGATGAATTATTTTCAACCCTACAACCCATTTCCTACAGATGAAACATTGCAAGCCTCTCACTGAGCTATCACTACTTCCATGGAAAGTGTTCAGACAGACTACATTCCTTAATTCTGCCAGTTCTAACCTTCATAGCTAAGACCCGCCATGCCAAACACATTTTAGCAAACTACCCTCATTCCCTTTGTATTCCATCAGTAAGATTAAGTTCTACTGAAGCTGCTTCTTCCCATGAAATGCTACTTTGTGGAACTAACTACCAAGAGGATGCTTCCTCAATCGCTACAATCTTAACCTGTTCAAGTCTAGGGTTAACCGTTATCTTCCCCACATATCTGCATAAACTGTGCCTCTTACTCTTTTACCCTCTACCTTGAGCGACTACCAGGCCTTGTACAGGGTGAATATCATTGTAAAAAAAAAAAATATTAAGACAATGAAACTTCAGCAAATGTGTTAAATTACCAAAAGTGTTTGTTTTACTTTTATAGTATTGTCTGAATTTCCAGTCAATATTTTGTAGAATTGTTTTTTTTACAAATGAAGTTAGAGATTTTCACAATGGCAACACCTGTTCAAAAACTGGAGCTTGTTATTTCTCACAAAAATTTTAATAGCAATATAAAATATTCAAGTCAATATGTTTGCAGTCAGTTAATCTTCCATCTTATAGCTAGATATTCTTTGAGGTAGCGTTTCAAGTTTTGTAAATTAAAATTAGAAATGTGATCCTTTTCATTGCATTTTAATTGTAATTTTTATATTTAATATTTAAGAAATATTTTTAAATGCCTTCCAGTAATGTGTTTTGTTTTACATGACTGTAGACTTCAAATCTAGCATCATGTTACATTTTTCCACTCCACCTCAGGTAAAACAAGTTTTATAAAACCATTTTTAAAACTTACAAAATGGATAAACAAAATTTATTCAAAATCAGTCCAGGTATTTAAAAGAAATACAAGCATACATTGTTTTGAATACCTGCAAAGTTACTGAAAAGAATAATATTAATGAAACATACTGAACTGACAAAAGATATTCACATTTTTAC